AACCTTCAAGCAAGAAATGGAGAAGGTACTGTATGTTTATGCTGCTTTCATGTGCTGTGGGAGGAGAGGCTCTGACTTAAATTGTCACTCTTATTGAACAACGCTTAAATTCTGAAGTGCACCAGCCCATCCCTTTGAGCTGCTGCCTTGGGAGGGGAGGACAACCCCTGAACTGTTTCTCTGCTGGTGTCCCAGGACCGACTGACTTACACTATTTTTTACTTCTTTGCTGCAACCCCATAGATGACAAAGAAGATTAAGAAGCTGGAGAAAGAGACCACAATGTACAGATCCCGCTGGGAAAGCAGCAACAAGGCCCTTTTGGAAATGGCAGAAGAGGTAATGTCGCCCCTGCCTTACCCACCTTGGCTTCTCTAGGGGAAACAAGAGCTTCAGGGTCAAATGCATAGCCAGACAGGCCCCAGAAATTCCTATGAGGGATTGAAACTGTGCCCACTCCTTCAAATCCTTGAAATCCTCAAGGATCTAAATAGTGTTCAAAAAAATCAGATTTTCTGGAAGATTATGTTCATTTCCCCCCTGACTCTGCACTCAGGAGAGAATAATAAATATTGGCAGATCCAATACAAGATGCTGCTGCCTCTGCAGTTTTAGAGATGAGCTTGGAAATGCTGAGCAACCTTTTGCTGAAGTCTTGACTTGTAGATGGCCTGTGCGTAGTTTTTCAGTCCTTGGAAGCATCCTCCTCCTCAAAGAGTGTGCCACTCTTTGGGGGGGGGGAGGCATTTTGGTGAAATCACAAATCCTCTCCATCAGAAGAAACCTCTCTTGGTCTCTCACTTCCTTAGTTTTGCTCTTGGCATTCCGTGCTCTTGAGTCAGGATTCCTTTCAACAAGCCTTTGAGTTTTTGTTCTTGCTCTTTGCCTGGCGCTCAGTCCTGGCTTTGGAGTTGGGCACTGGCCAGTTGACAGAAAGGCAACCCAGGAATGGTGCCCTTGTTTTTGTTCTTCATTGCTGGCTGGGACTAGAAGCTCCAGGCCAACCTCGATGCCACAGTGAGTTGGAGTGGAGTGGAAAGAAGCAGGGATATGCACTTCCCTGTCCTTGTACTTGGAAGTTTCTTCTTCCAGAGCACACATTGCACTTCTTGCTGTGGGGCTTCTACACCCAGTGGTACAAGGAGGGGAGGGTGTGGCTGAGGGTTAGTTAGTCTCTGATCCAGAGCTGGCCTGTAAGCTGGTTAAGGACATTTCCCATCTTAATGAACAAGCAGCCTTCCTAACGTCTTAGCAGCTGAATTTAAGCAACTTATTTTTGTCGCCTTTTCATGACCTCTTCTGTATCTTGGCAAGCAGGCAGAAGCTGGCCCTGAAATTGATTTTGTTTCCCCCTTGCAGAAAACTCTCCGGGACAAAGAACTGGAAGGGCTCCAAGTGAAAATCCAGCGCCTGGAGAAGCTCTGCCGGGCCCTGCAGACAGAGCGCAACGACCTGAACAAGAAGGTGCAGGACCTGTGTGCCCTTGTGCCTCCCGCTGCCAGCACGGACCTCCAGGGACCACCAAAGGACCCATCCCAAGGCAGCTCAGAGGAGCTGGCACCTCAGGGCACCACCGTGGAGGAGTGCCTTGCCCTGGCACAGGCGGTGTGCTGCACGGGACCAGCCGAGAGGTTTGGGGAGCCAAGCATAGGAGGAGCCCCTGCTCGGGAAAAGATGGATGAAGCTGCTGTCTCTCTTGAGTAAAGATGGAGGAAGGGGGAGAGGCGAGCATACCTCTCCAGAGACTGGGCCCCAGGCCTGGGGTGACAAAGCTCAGTCCCCCACCCCCCAGGCACTTAAGGTGTTCCAGTTTAAGTTTGAAGGCGTTTTTCTTTTCTTTTTTGCTTTATAAAAAATATCTCACTATATATTACACGATATGATGTGCAGGGCAACTCCCACTTTTTATATATAGGCCTAGGAACTAGATTGAACCACATCCTTGTGTGTCGTGTGAACATCTCTAAGTGTGTGGCAGTTTCACCAAAATACCTTCTGAAGTATGGGCGAGGGGGAATCTTGCCAACCATAACCCTATTCCCCTCCCCCAAAACTCAGTTTGGCTGCTACATCTCACTGTGGGTGCTATGCCATGAATGCAGATTTAGGAGGTTGGCATCATGGGGCCCTTTGGAGGATTTGTTTATTTTTCTCATATACTGACCAGACCCAGAGGCTTAAAACCAGAACAGGAGACTCAGGAGTTTGCTATCTAGTAGGTTATTTTTAGCATGTAGATTCCCCCAGGAAAGCGGAGAATAAAATAGATGTGACTTTGCTTCCCGGGGACAAGAGACTGAGAGCCCTGTTGGTTTGAGGAGAGGGTGGGTGGGGAGCATCCTCTCTGGGACTTTGCTACTTCCAGAATCTATGTTTCAACAGCCTTATGACTTCACAGTTGCCTCTATGCTTATACACGCACAAGTGTATGTATTAAAGATTTAATCCAAAGGTTTTCCTTCCTTAAGTGTTTTGCACATGATGAGCACCCGTGCACATGGTTGCGTGTGGGGAATGCTCTGGGGGTGGGGCGGGCAGGGGGAGTGAACCCCCTGCATGTGTTATATACTCCTTTTTGGGATACTTTGGTTCTAAACGTCCTTCACAATCCCAGAGGCTCAGGGAGACAAACCCTAACCTCCCAGGCAGCAAAGCCCAGTAACTAGAAACAAACTTAACACACATCAGGAACTGCCTGGAGATTGTCCTCCGTGACAGGACTCACGTTTCCTTATCTTAACAGCACTTTTCCTTGGGCAACCTTGTCTACACAGCTCCAGTAAAAAAGAGATTTCCTATTTAGTCCTCGGTGCTGCCATGGCTAGTTTAAACGCATAGAGGCTTTTTCTGTGATTTCAATTTCTGCTGCTTCTTGGGCTTAAAACCCAACTACAGACTTCTTTGCGTTTTAGTAGCTGCCTTCTTTGCTTTTAAAACTCTGCATCCCTCCTCGCTGGGGCCATAATTAGCCTTTATTGTAATTCCTGTCACGCTAAGCTGCCTATTCCTCAATTAGTTGTGTTTTGAGCTGTTGAGTGTTGGTGTTTGGGAACAGCTGTGGGCAGGCACCATTCAGGCCCAGCCCTATAGACTTCAAACACTGTGTTAAAGGAAGTTGGGCGTTAGGAAACAGTATTAGCGATGCATTTTGTATGATCTCACTTCTCATCCAGGTTGGCAGGTTTCTTGCAGAGCTGTTTTGCTTCCTTGTTTCTCTTACTGGACGTAGTGATTTCATCAAAGCTTGGGGTGACATCCAGCATCGCACCAGCAGATATGGCAGGACTTCACCTTTGTTACATCCCCTCTCCCCACGTACGCCCAATCTGCTCTGGAGGGTCCCTCAACCCTTGAGCAATTTCAAGGGTGCATGGGGGGCTGGGGTGGGGAGAGCAAGTTCATGCTATGAATGGGCTGCCTCCCATCCTTTTCCTTGTACTTTGCAGGGCTTGGCCAAAAGCTGATGAATGTAAATGGGAGATAGAACTTTACTCTTGGAGCGGGACAGAACTGAACACTGAGATGTTTCAAGAAAACCTTCCAATTTTTTTTAAATGCAGTGGTACAGGCAATATCTAGATCTGTTATATATATATATCTTTGTATCCAATACAAATGAACATAAACTTGACTGCATGTCTGTGCTCCTTTTTTCTCCGCTACCATCATGGATATTGAGGCAGGCTATTGAGCTTGGCACACAGCACCAATTTCCAGATGTCCGTCCCAATTCACTATAAAGGGTATTTTGGCCCTTTTCAAGGGGCTTGGGACAGTTTTTGTATCACTTTCATGTGTACTGTAAGCGGTGAAAATGGGTCTGGGAAATATTTTTCACTTGCTTAGCTTCAAAATCATTTTTTGGTTAGGATTCAGAAATAAAACCAATGTAGTGCTTTAGAAGGGAGTGTTAGACTTCTTAAGCATTAACACCAAACTTTCAGGTCCCAGTTCAAAAAGACAACTCAGATTTTTTTTATTGGTCTAGAATACTGAAGACTGAAGTTACAAGGGGTCTTCCTAATTTGTATTATAATTTAAGTGGCGCTCTAGTACATTTTAAAAAAGGAAACCATGGAGCCATGAGGGACCTCAAAGACCATCCAATGTACTGTTACAGCAGCCTTGTGTGGGCCATCGAGCTTCTGTTTAAAAATCTCTAAACCAAAAAGAGTGTCCGCCACTGTTCCAGGATTGAATATATTGTGCTGTTAGCATGGCAAGTTCTTCCCAACGCTTTGTTGAAACCATGTAATTTTGAATGAACTGGTGTGGATCCGACTGTGGAATGTGTGGTAACCTGATACCCTTCTGATTCTGACCATTGGCCAGGACCGATTTTGAGTCAGGTCCAACAAAATCTGGAGCATTGGTGTGCTGCAGCACCCATATCTCTAGTCATACAACTCTGCCATGGGGCCTCCTAGCCCCTATTCAGGCTTTTTTTGGGGGTAGGGGGGACAGGGTGCTTTCAAGTATTGTACTCCTTCAGCAACACTTGTGATAAAGGAATTGTAGCTGTGTGCCCTGCCCCAAAGCCTTAGGCTATGAATATGACAGATCCACCCCCACTGGGAGAATATCCTGGGGAGGTCCTGCAGGCCATCATGTCAAGCTTAAAGCTGGGGGGGGGCAAGCAGTTAAACTTCTAATTTACATTTTTCAAGGGATGGGGGCTCCAACTCCTTTTCTTTCTTTATAGAAGTCCTGCTTCTACCCTGGAGAAATGTACCAGGTAAACCTTTCCTGGGCGTGAAGGGAGGGAAGAAGTCTAATGTACTACTTGGGCTGAATGGAAGCTGTGGGGTCAGGGAGGAGCAGATGGGCAGAGGAAGGCCTACCTAGGTGGAATTCGATGTCTTCTGTCCACGACCAGAGACCTTTTCCCTTCGACGTGCTCTTGGGCTACTGAACCCTATCCTCCAAAACGGGTTTAAGACGGGCGTTTGCAATGGGCTGGCTCGGAGCGGGAGTGGGGAGCAAGCTAGTTTTCCAAGGGCCCGGATCTGAGCAATGGAACAGCGGCTGCTGTCCACGAAGGCAGTGGCAGCGTCAGATCCAGTGAAAGGGCATGTTATTCTGGCCACCAAGCCTCCCTCCGCCCGAGCCCTGGGAAACCAGCTGCAGCCGACCCGAGGCGGAGCGGACCCTGAGCATCGGGTCGCCGTTTCCACAAGCCCCTTTGCGGAGGGGCCTGCCTGGCCACCGCCTCTCCGAGAGGGAGTGCGCGCGCTCGCGCACGCGCTCGGCGCTTCTCTGGCGCGCAGCAGCAAGAGCAGCTGCCGCGGGAGCGTTCCCCGTGGCCCGTCTCCGCCGCAGAGGTCAGTGTCTCCGCAGCGCGTCCTCCACCCCATGCGGTACGAAGTGGGGGCGGGGGGGGTGGAACCTCGGCGAGGAGAACGTTCTGATTTGGAACGCGGAGCGAGGAATCAGCGTTCCAAATTGGAACATTGGCGGTGGCATCTTTTGTTGCTGGCAGATGGCGGTGGGTGGGATTAACCGGCCTTTTAAGATTGCCGGCGGAGAGCGAGACCTTTTCTTCTTTCGCCCCGGACCTCTTTTCTCGGGCAGCGACCTCTTCTTAGAAGCCAGACAGGGCTGTTTGTTAAGGCGCTGCATCATCGCCGCCTCCTCTGCACGGTCTTGTTTATCGATCTATTTATGTGAGCTCCTTATGTGATGCAAGAGCGAAAACAGAAGGTCGATGAGCCAGGGAGGGTTCAAATTAGCAATTCAGCGTTTAGTGTTGTTACCTAAATGAGATGCACAGGGCATTTCTCATAGCGGGAGAACCAGTCCTCCTCACCCAAGCAGTTGACAATCCCCAGCAGCTACTGCTAGAGAAGGAGCCCTTGCACCCATCACTCCCCCCCCCGACCGACCTCTGATAATTGGCCCTAAATAAGAGGTGTCCCTGATGGGACCATGTGCCATAACAGAGCAGGGGCTAGAACACCAGGGAGCAGTCAGCTTTTGAGAACTGTCCCTTCTGCAATATTAACACATTTATTTATGGAATCAATTTAAATTCTACCTTAGTTTTCTTACACAGAGCTAAGGGGTGTAAAATACTTACCCCACCCTCACATGGGCGTAGCCAGGATTTTTGTTGGGGGGGCAGGCTTCTGTGAGGAGGACAGAACCTCAGGTTTGTAATGATTTGTATTGATTTTGATTGATTGGGGGGGGTAGCTGCCCCCTGCCCCTCCTGGCTACGCCCATGCATCCTCATTTTATTCTCAAAATAAACCCTGAGAGCTAAGTTAGCCTAAGCAAGCAAGACATCTTCCCAACACTACCTGGTGAGCATTGTGGCTGGGTGGGGACTGAAGCTGTCTCTCCCTAGCCCCAACGCTGATCAGCGATGCCATTTTCTGGGTTGTATATTCTGGTAGTGCATCTGTTATTCTAGGCTGCATCAACAGTAGTGTACAGGTCAAGGGAAGTAATAATACCACTTTATTCTGCCTTGGTCAGACCACACCTGGGATACTGTGTCCAGTTCTGGGCACCACAGTTTTAAGGAGGATATTGACAAGCTGGAATGTGTGCGGAGGAGGGCAGCCAAGATGATCAGCGGTCTGGAAACCGAGTCTTAGAAGGAACGGTTGAGGAATCTGGGTATGTTTAGCCTGGATAAAAGGAGTCTGAGAGGATATATGATAGCCATTTCAAATATCTGAAGGGCTGTCACATGGAAGATGGAGCATGCTTGTTTTCAACTTGTCCAGAGGATAGGACCCAAACCAATGTATTCAAGTTACAAGAAAGGAGTTTCTGACTAAACATCAGGAATAACTTTGTGATGGTAAGATCTGTTTGACAGTCAAACAGCCTCCCTCGGGAGGCTGTGGACTCTCCTTCCTTGGTGGTTTTTAAAGCAGAGATTGGATGATGCTCTGTCATGGATACTTTAACTGAGATTACTGCATTGCAAGGGGTTGGACTAGATGACCGTTGGGTCCCTTCCAACTCTGCAATTCTATGACTCTAAGAAGGGTACTCCACTGTATCTTCCCTCAACCAAAAACACCCAGCACCTCATTTTCTCATATTATTGTCCCCAAGTAATGAGAAACTCCAGGGGTAATACAACCCATGCATGATGTGTCCTTCTGAAGGGGAGAGCAGTAGAGACTTAGGCCACATCCAGACTTACTGAGCAGTCACCTTGATTTGTTTGTGGGAAGGTTATACAATCTTGCATTGAGCAAATGTTATCCCAAAACCTTCCAGTTCATTTCCCCCATCACTTTTCTTATCACCACAACAATATTTTTTTTTGGGGGGGGAATGAAACTGATGTGCTCGAGCATTAAAAAAAAGCCTGTGCAACCTGGATTTGCCAGTGTGTGACTGAATCTTACCTGAAAATAGCAACAGTCAGAAAGTGTTCTCACGTTGTACTTACACAGTTCTCCCTGTACTCAAACAACAGCAGAAATCTGAGTAAAGCAGGGCTGGAGACACGGAGGCAAAAAAATGTGGTTTTAACAATGACAGAGGCTCAAGTGCAGCAGAGATGGAGAGACACTGGGGGTTGTTATTTAAAAAACAAAGCTGTTTTAACCAGCAGAAGTAGCAGAAATGGGTGCATCATAGTAGCTAACACAACCTCCCTTCTTGCTGTGTTCAAACCTTTTTCTAACCTGCCACTTCACCCCTCTTAATGTCACCTCGACTCACTCTATTCAAACCTCTGCCACTGTTTAAAACCATCCCCTGCTCTGCTTCATTCCACCCCTGCTTTATTCTGACCAGTGCTGCTGTTTAAAACTACTATTTCCCTACTGTGTTTCCCCCTTCTTGCTGTACTCAAACTTCTCCTTCTATTCCTCACCTGACTCTTGTGTGAGAGAGAGGATGAAGAAGAAGAAGAAGAAGAGTTTGGATTTGATATCCCGCCTTTCACTCCCTTTAAGGAGTCTCAAAGCGGCTAACATTCTCCTTTCCCTTCCTCCCCCACAACAAACACTCTGTGAGGTGAATGGGGCTGAGAGACTTCAAAGAAGTGTGACTGGCCCAAGGTCACCCAGCAGCTGCAAGTGGAGGAGCGGAGACGCGAACCCGGTTCCCCAGATTAGCAGACTACCGCTCTTAACCACTACACCACACTGGCTCTCAATGATTTCATTGTATGGAAGCTTCTTTATTCAAACCTTTGCTGGTGTTTGCTAGATCCAGTTCCCCACCTCTGATTCAAAGGGTTGGAGATGGGATGTGAGGAAGAGGAAGCCTGGAAGTGGTGGAAGTCTTTTTCTTGTCCTGGTTACAGAACGGGCTGCTGTCTTCAGAAGGCTCCCTGGCCTTGCAACACCTGACAAAACTGCTTCCCCTCTCAGTGTGCCTCCCTTCTCACTCCTGTTGTACAGCCTGCCTTCTCTTTTCCTCCCCTACCCCACCACAACTTCCTGCAAATCCAGGATTGCGATGAATCCTTCAGTGGGGGCTGTGCAATGACAGCCTTACATATCTATGTAATTGGGAAGACATATTTATATGTCTCTTATTGTCTTGTTTACCAGTGGGGTTATAAAAAATATTTGCAAGCTGTGTGAAGAGTTTTATTAAAACTTTTATTAAAGCCATGAAGAAATGGCTTTTTTAAAAAATATCAATAAAGAATATCTGTTCCAGCCTTTTATTTTCACTGAAGGTCAGCCAGATTCCTTTGGAAGGCGCAAGAGGCAAGAGCCATAGCTCAGTGGCAGAGCATCAGCTGTGCCTGTAGAAAGTCCCAGGTTCAATGCCCTATGGCATCTCCAGGTAGGGCTGGGAGAGGCCCCTGCCGGAAACCCTGGAAAGCTGCTGCCAGTCAGTGCAGGCAGTACTGAACTGGATGGACCAAGGAATTGACAGCTTCCTGTGTTCCTATGGACGCTCCCCTGCAGAGCATGTTGGGACTGGCCACTGCCGTGTTGTTTGTCCCAACGCCTGATGTTCAGAGGTAGACTGCCTTGGAGCACTGGAGGGTCCATCTAGTTACGTTCATGACTGAAAGCCACCAATATGCTGTTGCTATCTTTCTCTTTCTAGCTTATCTTTAGCTTCATTCTCCGTTCCCCTGAGCAGTTTCCGGTGTGTGATTAAGAGAGACCTGCTGCTTCCGGGATGGAGGAGAAGAAGAAGAAGAAAAGTCCCAAAGCCCACCTAGCTCAGCCAGTTCCAGCCAGTGCTCTCCGCAAGCTGCCAGTCCCTTCGAGCAAGAGCACCTCTTTCTCCCTGGGGATGCCTCATCTCCCTTCGCCAAAGCAAAGAGCCAAGTTCAAGAGGTCAGCCAAAGGTTGGGGCAGAGCTGCATGGTTTCCTCTGGGAGGGATTTGAACCCAGAGCTCAGCTGGCTAGAATTTCATCTGTCCAGCCACTGCCAAGCGGAAAGATGTGAAACTGGGGGGGAGGTGTTTTATGTTGTGTTCCTACCTTTAAATAGGACTGTTCAGAACTGGACACTCCATGCATGCTTAAGGCATTTTAACCTTATGCTGATTTATTTATTTTTTAAACCAAGCTGCTTTCCATCAGAGAAAGGCATTTTGCCATTGCCCAGAGGCACCCTTTTCTTGCTTTTTGCTACTGCTTTGGGTTTGATGATTTGCATTTGAATGGTTGCATCGTTGCTTTTTTACATCTCTGAAGCTGCTTTCGATTGACTTTTTCCATAGGGGGAGAGCAGGGTATACTTTTTTTAAGTAAGATAAAATTAATAGGTCTGCTTTTTTAAAAAAGCTGTCTGCCTTCACAAAAGGAGGGCACTCGGCACATGCTCAGAGGCACTTAGCCCCTGGAAACGTTATTGAAAATGAAAAACTTGGCAACCCTGCTTTTGAATAAAATTATCTCAGCATCTCCTTGTGGTAGCAAACAGGGCACAGTCAAAAACAGTGAGTCAATGTATGAAGAATTACAGTGTCTTGGTTATGCCTTGCTAAAGTCACAAGCGATCCTTGCTCCACCCCACAGTGCCTTAAGGCAGCCTTCAGATGCTTGGGACTACATCTCCCACCAGCTCCAGCCAGGTTGGCGACAGCTTACCTAAGGTCCATTCCCCTTAGAGAGAGCCCTCCTCTTTTCCCTTTGAAATGACACTTCTCCCCAAATTATAACCCAAGGCAAAGGGGACCCAGGCTTCCAGTTTGGGGCTGCCCTTAAGGGTGGCAGGAGGGAAGATGGACACGATTGAGTGCTGTGAGCAATGTCCTCTAGAGCAGGCCTCACTGAAATGAAAGGAGATCTTTGCTAGAGGAAGTCAGATGGGTGCCTGGGTGGAATCTAGGCCGTGGCCTTGAGTCAATGGCATTTCTTTATCCAGTAAACAAAGCAAAACGGATTTGACTTCCTAGTCCAGGTCTTGTGGCCTGGTGTGTGGGAGGTGGGAGGGAGTTGGAAGGAATATGTCTCCTGAGCTGAAAATTCTGGGCTGAGAACTTTTGCTTTAAAGTTGTGGGTAAGCAGATCAATGTCCAATGATGATATAGCACAATTTCTAGCAGCATTTATGGGGAGGCCAGCTGCTGAGAAGAAGTCTGCATACAAGAAAAAGGCTCTGCTCCTATCCAGTTAGCTGTCCAACTTTCTGTTCCTCCCTGGAAAAAATCCACCCCAATGCCTCCCTGTTAATAATTGGGGTGGGGGATCCCTCAGCGCTCCCCCACAACATCCATAGGAGGAGGTGAGGCTGTCCTCCTAGGAGAGATTTTGGCGTGTTCCCAGCCCTGCATGCCCAACTGGCCATTGCGTTGGCAGAGCCCCTGACTCCTTGGCAAGGAAAGTGGAAATGATGCTGAGGACAATCTTGGAGGCCGTCTCTGGCTTCCTTTGTGCTCTGAGGAAGGAAGACGGACTTCCTGCCCAGTCCCACCCCACCCGTCACCTTTTCTTATTGCTGTTGTCTGATGCAGAGCAAACAAGGAGAAGCCCCGAGCTCCCCAGCCCGGAGGCAGCGCTGCCACAGCAGCTGTGGGGACCCCTCTGCAGCACTCATTCCTGACCGACGTCTCGGATGTGTATGAGATGGAGGGGGGCCTCCTGAACCTCTTGAACGACTTCCATTCGGGAAAGCTGCAGGCTTTTGGTAAGCACTTCAGTTATTTCTCAGCCCTTGAGTTCCGAGGGAGAAAAACACCTCAGAAATATCTGTTACTGGACGGTGTGTTGTAATATGCAGGGTGTTGGATGGGGAACGGCAAGGTCTGAATTCGAATCTTTGCTTAGCAAGTGCAATTAGCTGAATTAAACTCTCTCAGCCTCACCTAGCTAACTGGGGGTGGCATCTCCTAGAAGCTCCATGGAATAACGCTGGTGTTCTTTTTCTCAACTAATGCAGGGAAGGAATGTTCCTTTGAGCAGCTGGAGCACGTTCGGGAGATGCAGGAGAAGTTGGCTCGCCTGCATTTCAGCCTGGACGTCTACGTGGAGGAACTTGCTGAGGACCAGAAGAAGACGGTGGCCGACAGGAACCTGGATCAGTTGCTGACAAATGTGAGTGCTGTGAGGAATCCTGGAATCCCTTTTCTGGCTGAGAGACTCTCGCCCTCTCCCACCTCCTTGTTCAGCCCGGAACTGAAGAGCTCAGGCTGCATACACTTTGAAACACATCCAAAGCACACACTTTCCCTCAAAGAATTCTGGGCAATGTAGTTTAAAGGTTGCTGGGAATTGTTAGACTGTGAGGGGTAAACCATAGTGCCTAGAATTCTTTGAGTTGGGGGGATGTGCGCTACAATATATAGTGTGTAAGTAGCCCAAGTCACATGTTGTCCAGCACAAGACATATTTGGGTGCATATGCCTTTGTTATGGAAACCCAGCATACTTAAAATATAATTGCCTCTGCCCCTGAGAAGTTTATGAGCATCCATGACATCCCAACTACTCAGTCTGTGTGTAGGGTGCATTTGCAGGTGATAGGTAACAATCTTTTACTTACTGGCAAATTTACACTCATCTGCCAGCTGGGGGAGACCTTGCTGTGTGCTCCTCCAATATTTATGGCCAGTCTGGTGGTTTTGGCCAAGCCCTATACCTGATCAGGTGTTGGGCAGGTAAAGGTGCGGCTGATACAGAAGAGGTTTGCAGGTACTGGTGATCAGCTGATCATCAGGACTTGCAGTGTTCTGTTCTGTGAGCAGCACTCTGCAATCCCCACCAATGAGCTGATCGTCTGCATGGACAAAAACTGGATCCCTGACATTGTTGTGATGGCGGGTAATTGACTGGCCTGCCTATCAAGCTTGGCCTATGGGGGAAGATAAGGGTCCATTCAGCCTCCTGGCCAGATCCAGTTCCAAAACCCTGCAATAGAGCTTTCTCCATGTTGGTGCAATATCTATGGGACTCTCTTCTGCATTTTAGGAAACAAGTTAACTTTCTTAATCTTGATCCATTTTTAAAGTACCTGCAGGCTAAATAAGGGAACATGACATATTGGATATCCCCTCTCTTTAAATATTGGCAAGTGGCAGCCACAGAGGTGGCAGTGGGAGATCCCTCTGGCTTCTCCCTTAACAGAGCAAATACCTGTTTCAGAGGCATCTTTATCTAAAAAATGGAGTTTTGTGCGTGTATGTGTTAAAAACACCACCATACACACTCACTCACCGCCTGCACCCCTGATGCTCATCACTGCCTTCTCCCAGAAGCTGCTATTTATCAAAATTAATTAATTTTATAATGAATGATTTTAGAGTATTGTTTATGCTGTACTTTTGTACTGTTTTGTTGTTGTTAGCCGCCCTGAGCCCGGCTTTGGCTGGGGAGGGTGGGATATAAATAAAATTTATTATTATTATTATTATTATTATTATTATTATTATTATTATTATTTGCCAAAATCTAAAGAGGGGGATGATCCTATCACAGAGCTCCATCACCTTGCTTAGTGTGGCCCCAGTTTATTTCTACTGCAGAATGTGGAGTTTCTGCCCATGGAGTTTTACATTTTTTCAGCACCACATTCCCGAGTTACTGCAGTACAGAGTGTGGTTGTGATGTTCAGCTGCCTTTCCCAGCATGCTCTTCTGCCGCAGTTACGGACTGCAGCTCCCACCGGTCAGGTGCTATCTGTGGCTGATGGGAGCTGTAGTCCGAAACAGCTGTTACTTAGCTCCTTGTGTTTGTTTGTGGCTGACTCTCTTTTGCTTTTGCAGCTGGAAGAACTCAGCAACTCCATGTATCCTCCTTATGGTGCCCAGTGTGTGAATGCCCAAGCCATTTCCCAGGCAGACTGGGGTCAGAGGCGATGGTGGGGGTGAAGGGTGGGACGCTGGGTGGGGTACAGGGAGGAAGTAGTCTATCCACCTGTTGCAGACAGGCACGGTTGAATAGTCCAGCTACTCCTTTTTAAACAGGAGATTCCCCCCAGCTCCCTCCTCCTCTCTCTCCCCAAGAGAAGCAGCATCAGAGTGAAAAGGTATGTCTGCAGAGAAGAAGGGGGTGGGTGGGCATCATAGCTTAGCTGCCTTCCATGTTTCCTTAATAAGACACCTCAGACAAAAGCTCCACCTGGCAGAAAACCCTGACTTGGAGGATGCGTCCACAGTCTAGAACAAGGAGGAGTTGGAGGCTGCCTGGTTTTTCTCTTGACTGTTTTCATTAAGAAGCCTCAAAAAGAAAAACAAAGGGAGCAAAGAAGAAGCTGTGGAGCCGAGCAAAGAAGACCCTTGCGCAGAACTACTTCTGGACTGTACATGGAAAGGATAAGTTAGATGGAGCCTGGTGGAAAAGGATGCGACTCCTGGGCCTCAGGCACTGGGGACACACTGCAGAGGCAGCATGGAAGCCAGCCTCCGGCAGAGACTCCTGCGCCCCACGACCGACAGAGGGCAAACAGAGACTGCAGGGCCCTGGGGGATGTGGCAAGGGGTGCTGGGGGAGCCCTCTTGGGCCATGCAGGCCTCTGGCTTTGACTGGCAAAATGTCCTGTGCCAAGACAGAAAGATGCAGGTTCTAGGGCTTGGCTGCCTGCAGACAGTCCTTAGAACCAGGATCCGCTGTTTTTTTCCTCCTACAGCTCCAGACATGCCATGTTTGTACGCACACAGTTTGACAGGCAGAAGGCCAGCAAATTGAACGGTGATGTATTCCATCAGTCTTGCTGCTTCTGCCAAGAGTTGTCTGCCTCCAGTTTTAATATTTTTTTCCCCAGCATAGCATGAATGCTCATTTTCATGACTGTTTGTTTGGTGCCCCATCAACATTTTTTAAAATGCCAACTGTTTAATATGAAACTGCCCCTGGAGGAGGAAAGTGGTCTTATGACTAGAGAAGGCCAAATTTATCAGAATTTCAGTTGAATTCCTCCTAATTATACAGAGTTTTCCTTAACCACATTTTTGCAAGCAATTTCCCCGAATGCATTTTTTTTGTATGTTATTTTCCTTAATGTATGCATTTTATGCACACTTTCCCCTAACATACACATTTTAAAAACATTATTTGGTTGGAGAACTGTGTTAGACTTCAGAGGAGTGTGAATTATGAAGAATAGCTGTATTTTTATTTACACATTACACAATGTGTTAATAAGCACAACTTATGGAGTTCTTCATTAAAATGCAAGCCAGACCCAAATTTATCCTCCAGGCCTATTTGTAGAGAGCTGGTGTAGTGTAGTGGCTTAAGAGACTGATTTGAATCAAGAAGTGTCCAGTTTGAATCTTGCCTCTGCCACAAACTGACTAGTTGTCCTTAGTCACTTTCTCTCAGTTTCAGCACCCCCCTCTGCAATATGGGGTATGATAGTATCTTACAGAACTGTTGCTAAGCTTTACAGCTAGAGAGAGTACATGTGATGGTCTATATGGATGTTAAGTCTTACTATTTTTATTATCCTCATCATTGGGATCATCCAATCCTTGGTCTGCATGTTTCATTTCTGCCATGAAGAGGAGGACCCAGTTCCCCCTGCTACCAGATTTGAAGGACAGGTTGTAGAACAGTTCAGGGAACCACTGTCACTTGAGGAGGGGAAGTTTCCTGATTCCACAGCCCTTTACATGCTGCCAGGTGAACTTCTGCACTCTCCCCTATTCAGGATGTAGCTGCCCCTTGCAACTGCACACAAACAACTGATTTGCTAGAGGTGTAGAAATACTAATTCTGGGCTACCTCCTTTCTCTTCCCTGGGGCTTATCCCTCATTTCTCCCCCCCCCCACCCCCACAATCCAGCCCTAGGAATCCCCAGACAGGCCTAACCCAAGACTCTGCTAGGTTACCCCTACATCACATGCAGGGCTCTGGCAGTTGTTCCAAGGCAACAAAACGGAGATGCAAAACTTTCCCACTGTTAACAACTTGGGGAATCTAATTAGGGTTCACATTTGCTCACTCAGAACCTAGTGAGACAGTAATGCATAGCCAGTGAAACAAGACTCAAGATTATACATGAAATGAAGGTATATTGTTCATTTGCTTCATTAAGGTATATTATTCTCTTCATATAGATAACTGTGGCATTTGAAAAAATGTAATATTGCAGTATAGTTCCATTAGAACTTAATATGGATATTGCCTCCAGATGGCCTCTACATTGAGCATTCATCCTGATTTGCCTACACAATGTTTATGTGGAGGTGATACGGTGTCTGGTTTTTATTGAGCAAACATTCTGATTTGATTGAATTGCTTGTGTGATAGTTTTATGCCTTCCTTTAAATCAGTTGTTTATCTCACACTTTTTAGTGCATCGCTTTCTTAACTGCAGAAAGCTCATTTTTTCTTTTTCTTTTAAGTGGCTTTGTTGTGCCGAGCAAAGCTAGGTTTCCAGGAAATTCAGCCTCCTGACTTGGAGCCATATAGTTGTGAAAATGAATTTCTAAGTTTGATGGCACATGTAGCATTTTGGAATAAAATATTTAAGCATCAATAGCTGTGGGCTAGGATCCTGTGGCCTTTAGCTGGGTGAGAGGTTGTAAAAAAAGAGTTAGACCCCAAGCAGGCAGGTAGAAAGAGAGAGATTCTCTGAACACCTTTTATATACCAGAAAGATTGTGTTTTCTACCTTTTCTATCAATTTCATTACTTGCTTGGCAAGCCCATATAAGATGTAGATTCTGGGTGCCCATAATCTGTGAGCCCCTTCCTTTTCCAGCACCCTTTTGCCCAGGTCACTTTGACACTCCGTTGTCAATCATGTTATTGATTCCACATTTGCTGAGGCACTGTGGCTGTTGTTCTCGTTGAGCTTTTTAGTATCTTATTTATGCTGATGGGATATTGTTTCCTGTGACGACCTCATCAGGTTGCCAGGGCCTCTCATGAGGGTCAGCAGAAAGTTCCAAGCGGCCTGCGCAATGTGGCAGAATTGATCTTGTCGTCCGCTTTAGCCCATGACAGCTGCTCTACTGCCTGCTGGCGTTTGCTGCAGCTGATGGCTCTGCAGGCCTAGCTAACTCCAGATCAACATCCAGATTCTCCATGCGGATTAATGCATATGGGAGCCACCTCTGCCTTCCTGCAGGAGAAATTAGCGCTGAGGAGTATCAGGGGCAGGAATCTCGAGGACCATATTTCTTGGGATTTTTCTGACCCTCAGCTCCACCTTCCCCCAGTTCTGGTGCTGCTGCAAGTGCTCCCAACTGCCTCCTTCTCCTGATCACCCTTAGCCTTGAACCCGGAGTCACTGCCAGAGCCATTTGGATAGCTGGACCTGTAGTGCACTGCCCATCCCTTGAGGCTTGCAGAGGACCTCGCATGGCCCAGTTAGTGTTTGTTTAGTAACTGATGGTGTAAGGATGTGGATTGAGTGCTTAATGAGTTGAAGTCCCATAGAAGAATTCTTTGTTAATGCATAGGACTGCTGAAGGCAGGGGTTAATGCAGCCTTCACCAACATGGTGCCCTCCAGTTGTTTTTGGCTACGTCTGGAGTTGTATCCAAAAGCATCTGGAGGGCACAAATTTGGCAAAGACTGGGTAGTGTGTACCCCCCCAAAAGCTGCATTTAAAATCACAAGAAGCAGATAAAGTATGCCAACTTTAATTTGTATTACTAGTCCACTTCCTTGTGTTCTCTTTCTCTCCCAAGCTCTTCTAAACCGTTGTGAAAATTGTAGTCTACTGAACAAATGAATGTGGTTTGTAATTTTTTAAATGTTGTTATGCTTGTTAACACATGAAACGTTCATCGTGGAAGGGGGTGGAGTCCAATTTTTGTAAAATCAGCTCATAAATAGTTATTAAACTTTCTATAGGACAAAAGTTTTGTGTGTATATTTGGTAGGTAAGTTTATTTTGTGTCTTTGGTTTTGACATCTAACTTGGCAACACTGCAATTTAGCAGCACCCAGTCGCTGCTGATGTGCTTTACGCTGCAAATGGTATCACAACTTGGTTTCCAGACTTCTGGAGTCCAAATCACATCCTGTAGCCAAGTGGGCGGTAGGGTTTAATTAGAATGAGAGTCAAAATACTTGACCCCCCTCCAGATTCCTAATCATGATTGCTCTACCCCTGCCAATTTAGAAGGCGGGGGGGGGGGAATAAACAGATAGAAAGGCAATAATATTGGGAAAGGCTAAGATTTGTAGTGTATGAAACAAAGTAGGCTCCCAGCAATCCCACAAAAAGCTTTGGATTATCCCAGACTATGCACCCAGTATTCCAGAGAAGTGTCCTCTGCCTAGTACCAAACCATCACTTGTGCTTCAATGCTGCTTTCTGTGGGTACAAGCAAGATGCTGTGCAACAAATCGGCCTGCTGTGGTCAGATTTACCCACATCCTTTGCAAGGTTTATGGCTATGCTTTTCCCCCTGAGAAAAGATACTGGAGATTCTGCCCCTTGTGCCACTATCTGCATTTTTTTCTGTTCTTGTACTGAATTGCAGAATACAAACCATCTGTGATCATCAGAGGTGGCAGCCACATTTCCTACCTGGCTGGACAGCAATGCCCGATGCAGGGAGATGGTTATGGAGCAGCAGGTTCTGTGAATAGTCACAGAATATTCTCCAAGAGACAATCTGCTCTGCATCACACGGCTGTTTGGGATTGTAGTACTTAGTCCTGCCAGGGTCTACAGAGCTTGCTTTGACAAATAAGCAGCCCAGGGGCAAGTCCTGTGGCTTCATTGCGTAGGCAACACATTCAACCTCTTTTTCCCCATCTGTAAATTGGAATTAACAATGGACTACCTTGCAGAGTTGTTAGGTAGGCAAGCACAGGAAGGATTGCAAATTCCTTTGCAAAATAAATGTATTGCCTATAGTGTGAAAATATACGTTCCCAAGCTGTGTCCACCAGTGGCATCACTTCTCAACGTAAGTGAGAAGGGCCTGGAAGCCTCGCTTATAATCCTAGGTGGGAGGAACTCTGCACATGCTCAAGTGCTTCCCATGTTGCGGGCCTGAGAACTGGATAGGTTCTGAAGTCAAAGGAAGGAACCTGGACTGTGAATGTTGTTCAAGGGAGGATCGGTGTCCATGGCAAGCCAAAGGTGACTCACTCTCTTCCTCTCTCCCTCTCGCTCTTGATGTGGCTCAGCTTCCTGGCCTGACAAGGATATTTCCTCCTCCCCTGCTGAGCTGGCAGCTATGGAAACGGCAAGCCTTGCTCTCTCAGAACAGACCTTGGCAAAGAGGCCCTGCTCAGACTGGAAGGGTTTGCAGTGGTGGCAGCTCCCTAGGATTGCCCCCTGCCCCCATTGCTGCACTTTCCAACTTTGGCCAAGGGGATTTGCAAGATAAGCAACCTGCTGGTACCTACAGGCCAGAGGGACATGAGCTCAGGGACAGTGGCAGTGGCCCCTGTGGCCAAGAACGTGATGGTGTATCGCAACGGGGACCCCTTCTTCCACGGCAGGAAGTTTGTGGTGAGCCACCGGCGGTTCCTGACCTTTGAGGCCTTTTTGAATGAGGTGACCAGCACAATCCATGCCCCCACGGCCATCAGAAGCATCTACACCCCCCGGCACGGTCATCGGGTCTCCGACCTGGGCGAGCTGCAGAACGGGTGCCAGTACGTTGCAGGAGGCTTTGAGAGATTCAAGAGGCTGGAGTGAGTAGGCACTTGGAGGCTGGCTGTGCTGCCTGCCTTACCGATGGCAGCAGAATATCTGCCCCCCTCCCCAACCCCAAATAATCCCAGGCTCTCTGCAGAAAATCAGCTCCACTGACTGTGAACCTGTTAGCTATGTTGACTGGCAGGGAGGGATGAAGTCAGGTATGAGGGCATTGATTTCCTACCAAAAATTAGGGTGTCTTCTCACCTGGGGCACCGCAGGATGCCAGATTTTTATTTGAAAGGAGCTGCCGGAATGGGGGACGGACGGACTGTGTAAAGGGGAGTTAAGCTTTCAACCCAGCTGTCCTGCACCATTTCCCTAGATAAAAATTGTCTTCCCAAGCTACAGTTAGCTCTGTAGAGAAACATGCTGGTTCAATGTGCATGCTTTCTGCTGTTGAGCAAATAACAGGACTGGGGGCGGGGGGGGGGGAGGTCATTTAAACCTGAAAGACCATGCCAAACAGAGTTAACCCTTTCTCCCCTATGCTGTCCCTGATCCTATCCAATGTTTTTGTTTTCACGTACAGCCGCCTCGTGGCTGTGAGCGTTTTAGGAATATGTTTGGGAGGTGACTAGAAATAGACACTGAATCTCGCTGTGTCTGGCAAGTCGTCTTTATAAGAAAACTCCCTTGGAGAGCTCCCTCTGCTGGCGCATGGTATTTTATTTGTTTATTATTAAATTTGCATGCTGCCCTATACCCATTCACATAGTAAAATTCTCATATAAAAACACACACAAAATACATAATAAGCATAAGAACAAAGACAACCCAATAATCCCCCCACCCACCACACATTTAAAAGGGCACCGGATGTCATTCCGCCCAAGGCCTGGTTGAAGAGGAACGTTTTCTCCGGGCACCTAGGTATATAATGAAAGCACCAACTGAACCTCTCTGGGGAGAGCATTCCACAAGCAGGGAGCCACTGCAGAAAAGGCCCGTTTTCGTGTTGCCACCCTCCGGCCTCCTTGCGGCAGGATCTCCTACATGAGTCCTGATGGGATGAGTGGAAGTTAAGAGCATAAGCAGAGCCCACCTGCTGGATCAGGCCAGTGGCAATCTAGCCCATCACCCCTTACCCCCCAACATTTCTCTGATGAAAATAGGGACATCCTATTCAGTAGTAGTAATACCCCACCTATCTGATTGGGTTGCCCCAGCCACTCTGGGTGGCTTCCAATGTATATAAAAACCATAATAAAATATTAAACATTAAAAAACTTCCCTATTCAGGGCTGCCTTCAGATGTCTTTTAAAGTAGGGCTGCCATGTGTCTGGGTTTTCCTGCACACGTCTGGGAATCATTGTCAAAATGGTGTCTGGGCAACTAGGGTGATTTTTAAAATAAAAATGCTTTAAAAAAATCCCCCCAAGGGCCCAAAGACTTACTTGTTTTTTGGTCAACAACTTTGTCCGGATTTTCACTTTTGGGAATATAGCAACCCCATTCTAAAGGTTGTAATTACTTATCTCCTTAGCTCAGGGGTCGCATAACTACATCCCCTCTCACATTTCTCTGATGAAAAAGAGGAAAAGTAGGACATTCTGTAAATCCAGGACTGTCCCTGGAAAATAGGGGCACTTGGAGGGTCTCTCGTCCTGTTCTTACTCTGGCCCTCTGGGAAGCGCACAAGGAAGACCTGAGTCCCACAGCAACACCTCTCCCCATTTGTGATTCCCATACCCATACAGGAGGCCCCACAATGGGTTGTGTGTCCCAGGGAGACTCCCCTCCTGGATTGTGACAGCAGCAAGTCTGTGATGTCAGCCCACAAACATCACAGGCATTATTCCCAGCAAGTATTGTGTATGCGTGGGCTCCTGACATACAAAGCTGATGTGCAAGGTAACGGAACAGTCTGAATTTCAGCGCCTCTTATCCCACAGTCCGCTGGGAATACAGTCAATCTTCTGGCAGGCAACAAATGCTGCTTTAAAGAGCGCTGTATCTGGTGGTCAATGTTTAGTGCAGCCTTCCTCAACCTGGTGCCCTTCAGATGCTTTGGACTACAGCTCCCATCGGCCCCAGCCAACATGGCCAAAAACGGGTGTGTGTCTAAAGTCTAGTGGCTTTTGGAGGGTCCCAGAGAGAAGAGGTGACTCAGCCCTTTGCCTGAGACTTGTGGAGAGTGGCTGAGGTGAATCATTATGATTATTATTAGAAGAGAACTAGAAACTTTCTGCAAGTGCTTTTGACTTTGGAGGTCACGGCTAAGGTTTCGGAGGGACAGGGCACACAAGTCTAATGAGGCTGCTATTGAGGAGCTATATTTTGCTAGAAATAATGGGGGGCGTGTTGGACTTAATAAATATTTCTAGAAGTGTTTCTCATTTTTTTAGAGAAGTGGTTCTTCTTGTCTGTACAGTCTTCTAGGCGCTGTGCGTGGAGGGTTGGTGAAGTCACCTATAAGCAATCTTGCTTGGGGAGGCTTTTCCTCTTGTGATTTGGCTGCCTTTGCTTGCTGATTTGATGGTAGCATTTATTGTACTCCATGAAATAAGGACACCAGCTTGATCACTGCCATTAACCAGAGGAGGGCATCCTTTGCTTTTGACTTTCAGGTGTCTCTTGAAGATCTTTTTATGTCGACAGGCCTGTTCAGTTGTTTAAATTTTAAAAAAGACGAGCCAGTCTTTTTTATGATTGTTTTGTACTGTTTTGTGGCACTTTACGGGTGTGTGTGTGCGTGCATTGTTGTACATTGCCTTAATATATTTTATGGGAGTAGGCAGTTTATAAATATTTTAAAGAAATAAATATTTTGTTTTAACATGCCGTTTCCCACTTTGGGGGCCTTTGGGCCAAAAAGTGTATAATATGTAGAAGTAGTCATAATCATATATTAGAGACTGGATTAGGACCCTAGTCTTTATTTGCTCCTCAAGAGCGTTGGGGGATTTTAATGGTCGTTGACAGTTAGGGATGTTAGCAGAAGAGAAATGTGGGTGTGAGACAGAGAGGCAGCTGTTGGCAGTTTGCATTTTGGAGGCCTGTTACAGTACGAAGTTGGGGGTCATTTCTGGCTTTTGTAAACCATAGTGTCTCTGGCTTTGTTTGGTCACCTCCAAAGAGTCACTATTTTCTGGGAGAGGGGCAGGATTCAAGGGAACACCATAACTTTAGGTTTGCACAACCATTAACGTTGTTAACCACTCCTGCTCAGGCTGCACAGGGAAAAAAACTGGTTCTAGAAATTTGTTCTGATTGTGCAGATAAAATATAACGGATAGCATTCTACAGGATGTGATATTAGTATGTGAAAACAATCAAGATCCAATGACCCCCAAGCATGTACCTCCAGATGATGGAGATGTCAGGCGCCATCCTGGCTCCCTGGCATCTTCATTTGTTCGCAAGTGGCCGATAGTCAGGTTCAAAATGTGCCTGGCTCCTGGCTTATTTCGAACACTGGCAATAAAGCAGCAGCAGCAGCAGCAGCAGCAGCAGCAGCAGCAGCAATGACCATGGTGATGCTGGTGCCTGCTTACTTGCTCACCCCTGCAAGTCTTGGAGGGCACCCCTGCTATACCGCAGCACTTTGTTGCAGATCCAACTAGTTTTTTTAATCACCCACCCAAATGTTGCTGTTTATAAAGACCACATTGGTTTTGTCAGGGGACATTAATTCCACCAAACAAGAAGCTGTAAAGCTAAATTACATGTCCAATCCATAGCAGGGGAGAGTGAGACTTGGCAACAGTAGACTCAACAAAACCCAATCAGTGAGCCAGACTTGAGCTGGGATTTGACCTCTGCTTGCTCACCCTGTTCATTTTCTTCCCTCATTGCTTTGACAGCTATCTAAACCCTGGAATGAAGCAGCTCAATGGGAACCAGAAGAAAGACAGAGTGCAGGTGAGTTCCAGAGCGGGGCAGGTAAGCAGCTGATGCTGCTTTAAAGGATGAGCAGTTTAAAGCGGTTTTCACACACACACAAAAACTTAAGAAATATTTATTGGCACATTAGGCACTGTGGAAGCGAAAGAATAAGCTTTGCCTTCAGGCTTACAGTCTGGAAAAGTTACTCTCTCTGCTTGGCCCACCCACTCCAATATAGTCCAGTCGCTGAGAAGCCAATGCAGTGAAGCAAACCTGCAAGAGGGCTCTGAACTGCTCTGTTTCCATGTTTTTAGGCTCAGTAGAAAGCAGCTTTAAGTGATTTTAAATGTTTGGTGTTTTATTATGCTTTTACAGTGGTACCTCGGGTTAAGAACTTAATTCGTTCTGGAGGTCTGTTCTTAACCTGAAGCACCACTTTAGCTAATGGGGCCTCCTGCTGCCGCTGCATGATTTCTGTTCTCATCCTGAAGTAAAGTTCTTAACCCGAGGTAATATTTCTGGGTTAGCAGAGTCTGTAACCTGAAGTGTATGTAACCCGAAGCATATGTAACCAGAGGTACCACTGTATATTTGTTGGAAGCCACCCAGAATGGCTGGGGCAACCGGTCAGATGGGTGGGGTACAAATAATAATAATAATAATAATAATAATAATAATAATAATGCGTGTGTTTGTACACAAATTGTAATGCCTGGTGGCTGATGCAAGTAAGTTATCCACCCACCCACTGATTTTTCTCTTAAATATAGCAACAAGATCATGAACTATCTATCACTGTTGTGATTCTACTTAGGTTGAAAGGCAAGCAGTGGAGGGGTACAGAATGGTCCACTCAATGAAGATGGTGATATGAATTATATAGGTTAACCTCTGAAGAGTAAATCTGCAGAGGAAGGTCTGAATCTTCCTCAGGCTGAGTGGAACCCCTTGAGTTAGTCCCATCCACCTTACAAGACTAAAAATCATACAATTGTAAGAGTTGGAAGGGAACCACGTGGGTCATCTAGTCCAACCCCCTTTAATGCAGGAATCTTTTGCCCAACTTGGGGCTCGAACCCATGACCCTGAGATCAAGAGTTTCATGCTCTACCAATTGAGCTGTGTGTATATACAGTAAAGCTTTAGTCACTATAGCAGCAGGATGTGCACTCAGCAAGCCATTGTGAAGGCTTCTTTCTGTGTTGGTGACAACAGAAAGACCTTGTCTTAGCAGTGCCTCTTAGGAACAGGCCTGCCAAGGCCACAATGACTTACTGCTGTGTGCCATAGTTCTGGGCTTAGCGGGGAGGGCAGCAGCCCATTTAACCTGTTGTTGGCTGTCTGGTTTCAAATTCTGAGTTTGAACTTTAGAATGCATAAACCCGTCAGGCTTTCCTGGGCTGTCTCAGTCTTCTGAGTCACCCCATGTCCGTCGCTTGTCAGACTTGATCCTCCCTCCCCTCTTCTGGTCTTCCAAAAATCAGATTGTAAGGTTGCTGGGGCAGAGACCCCTGTTGGTCTCTCTTTTCTGTTTATGCTTATCTGCAGAGCACCAAGAGCACGGCTGGAGATCTCTTGTTGTCAATAACAATTTTGGTGTTTCTGGTCTTCAGAGCTACCCAGTTATTCCCCAGAAGATGCCTGTTTCGACACATTGGAGGAAGCAGGCGAACTTGCCCTGCATTATACAGTGAGTGACTCCCTGGCTGCTTCTGACAATTTCCCCTTTGGAGCAGTAGAGAACTAAAACAAATGTTCTTTGGACAGTGGTGGGGGGGGGGGAGTGCAGGGATTATTAGGAAAGGGTCCTGAAGGCAGAACATGTTTCTTGACTGAATTGAATGTTTCTCAAGCCATGTTTCTTGACTGTTATAGGGGTAAACTTCTTGGCACAAGGGCTTTGTGTTGCTTTTAGCTGGTGTGTGGTTAACAAAAATTTATAAATCTGAATTGAGTACCTGTTGGATGCAAGGCGGCTTGGAGGTTCCTGAAACAACAGTGGCATTGCTTTGTTGTATGTAGTTGGTGGATTTGGTGGTCATCATTGTATACCATCAGTGTATACCATTCATACACTGGTTCATCTTGGTCAGCATTGTCTACAGTGACTGGCAGTGGTTCTCCAAAGTTTCAGGCCAGGTTCTCTCCCAGCCCTCCCAGGTGCCACTGGGGTTTCAGTTGGGACCTTCCATATGCAACCATGCCACAGAGCCACGCCCCTTCCCAAAGGAATGGAGAGCTTACACATACAGGTGACTATGGAAATCATGCCCCATGCAGCCTGTCCCTTTGCTTCTCTGTTGAAGTGTTTTCCGCAACGGGGACCTGCTAAGCCCCCCCTTCCGCCTGATCCTCAACAAGAGCACCCTGCAGGAGTGGAGCGCTGTCCTGTCCATCTTGTCAATCAAGGCGAACCTGCGGACTGGGGCTGTTAGAAGGTGAGTACTTTGAACAAGCTCCACCCCTTTTGCCTGCCTTTCACTTTCCAGTAACGAGATTCTTTGGGAAATGGACCCAAAGGTTTTTGTCTTCTAGGAGGCACTTCTATGTGGGATTTATTGAATTCTGGAACACTGGCTATTTATATGTTGTTTAATGCCAAAACAGACTTTTAAGTAGTTTACAAGTAACCAGCTGGGAATGAGATGCTTGCAGTATGGGGCTGCCTTTCCAAAGGTGTAGTGGTTAGAGCATTGGATGATGATGTGGGAGACCAAGGTTCAAACCCCTACTCAGTCATGAAGCTCACTGGGTGGGCCTCTGCCTAACCCACCTCACAGGGTTGTTATAAGAATAAAATGGGGAAGAATCCCGCCTTGAGCTTGAAGGAGAGGTGGGATATAAATGCCATAAATAAATAAAAGTAATTGGCATTGCTAGATTCTTCCTCTGAAAGTGCCCATTCCTAGGAATATGTGCAACAAGGTTTGTTGACTGGGGGGTTACAAGCAACTACGTGGTCTGTAGGAAGAGAGCTGCACTCTGTTTTATATTGGCATCTCTGGCATGGTTTTCTTCCCAAGGAATTCAGGGAACTATAATTTGGCAATTCTGCTCAAACTCCCAGGCTGTCAACACAATTCCCAAGGGAAGACAGTGACATTTAAACCCACATTGTTTTGTAGGTTTAATGTTTGAATAGAATACCAATTCATCATTATTATTGTTTTACAGTAATGCAGAAAGGTGCAAAGTCTGTTCTCAAGGCTTCGTAAGCATTTTGGTTTGCTAGTTTCACTTCAGATTTATAGTGAAGTTTCAGGAACCTACTTTCAGATGGGCAGACCATTAGCCCATCTAGCTCAGTATTGCCCACACTGACTGGCAGTGGCTCTCCCATGCAAAGGTTGTTTTCTGCATGCGAAGGCAGGTGCTGCACCACTGAGCTATGGCCCTTCCCCATTCAAATATAGAACTTTCTCTCCATCCTCAATCTCATTGCCCATTTAGTTTTCCCTGCCTGTTGTAGATATTTGCTTTTCTGTCTCTGGCCAGGCTCTGCAAGCTCAATGGCGATGCCGTCTCCACTGGTGAAGATCTGGTGAGCGGCAACTACTACGTGGCGGTGGGCCTGGAGAAGTACAAAGACCTGCCCTACTTCGAATTGCTGGTGCCCCCAAAGATAACACACCAGCCAACTCGGTAGGTGGTTGAAGTCACTGGGGGCTGGTTCAAGTGCCACTCCTTAGATGGCTACAAGTCTGTAAACACCAGCCCCTCCCCACTCCTTCGTGGTTGTGTTCATGCTGCTAAAACTTGTTCAGTCCCTCTTGTTCCAAACATAGCCCTTTAAAACAAAACAAAAATCATTCATAATCGTATCTGTAGGCCGCTTTTCTACAAAACAAATTATGCTCTTACAACCAAGGAAACAGGAATGCATTTCACAATCAAACAGTGCAAAAACAATGTCCTAATTACGTAGTAAAACAACATAATAGCAGATATAACAACGTACCAAATGCAACTTTTTAGCACTATAAGAATTATTATTTTAAAATAAATCTTACCTGTCCAGACCCTCTTTCCCCAACTAAACTTATCCGGGTGTGGGCCGCAGTGAATTTCCTGCTTCTATGATTACAGGGACCACTCAAATAGCAGACGAATGAGCCACAATCGAGGGGTAAGTTTTGCTGACTTCCCCAGGGATGGTGCTGACCAGGGATTCTGCTGGTTGAAGGGGGAAGGGCGGGGACAAGACTTCCAGGTGGATCGGTGTGTCATATGGTGGGTTCGGTGGTGCTCATGCAGAATGGCCAGCCCATGTTTTTTCTCACGATATTTTATGAGAAAAATATTGTATTCTAGATTTTCCCTTTCTGGGAAAAATCCATTTTTAAAAAAGGGTTTCCAGTGACCATCTGAAGATGTTAGATTCTTCAAAAATAGTGTGATTTCTGCAAAACGCTTGCTTCCCTGTGTGATGTATTGGGCTGGTCCACCCCCATTTCAGTAATGGTAGATCCCAAGTCCAGTAAAAGAGATCCCAGGGAAGCTAAAATCTCACATTGCTAAATCTCGGTGCATAGGATTTATTGATGTTGTGCCACAAAAGTCTGCCCTTTCCATTGCCACGGCTCAAAACCCAATTGAAATGTAGATAGGCTTTGGTTCCTCTACTCGGAATTCCAGCCCTCTGGGTCTGCCTGTCTTTTTAAAATGAAGCAGCCTTGGGTTAAGTTAACAATTAATTTGATTTAATCACAATTACCCTGGTGGGAATTTTATATCTTCTTTTTTTCCAGTTAGCTAAGCTCCACCTGGCTCCGCTAGAGGGGTCCAGTGACTCAGCACTCCTTGAACCGCCACAACAGGTAGAGAAACACAAACAGCAGCTCTGGGGAAATGGGGGCGCCTCCTCACGCTTCTCTTTCGTGTTGACTGAAAAAGGGAGCTTGTGATTACATGGTCATCAGTAAAAGTGCACAAATAATATTACTGCAAAGAACTTAACAAAGACCCCCTAAGGTTTGTGCAGCCTTAAAAATTCATTGATGTCATATTTTTAAAAACATGTTTTTATTGTATGTATCTCTCCCTTCCATCATTAAATACTTCTATCTGCCCCCCCAAGAAAAGCAAATGGTAGCTCTTGATATGCCTTTTGGGACATAAATGTTTGAACCATTTAAGATAGGGGTGAGCAATCTCCAGATTTGGCCCTGTGTGGGTTCCAGTTTGGCCTGTGAGACTGTTTTCCCCAAACCACACCCATCTTCCCCATACCTGATGTCATATAGAATAATAGACTCATAGAATTGCAGAGCTGGAAGGTACCCCAAAGGACTAAGATAGTCCAGTCCCCTGCAATGCAGGAATCTCAACACGTGGTCTTTCATCCAGTTTTAAACCATACTGGATCCTGCTTAGCTCTGCAAATGTAACATCCGGTATAGACGTAGGTAGATCATCTGCATGACCAAATTCCCTGTGGGGCCTTGATCATGGTTCATTGCCCATCAGCAGGTGAACTCAACCCATGGTTGCACAGCCAATCCCTCCAGAATGCTGCTTTGCCAAGCATCGGCCTGCCCAAGCTCCTCTTGCTGCAGCCCCCAAGCAGCTAGCATCGTAATGACCCTGTGAGGGCCAGGAAGACTCCACACCCCGATTTGAGATGGTGCATTTTCAAAGTGGATGAATCTCCATGAGGTTGCCATTGAGTCCACCCTCTAGAATTAGAGAGTGATGACAAATGATGGATGTGCTGAAAGCACTTGTTCTCTGGCTACCCAAGTCTGCCATTTTATTTTGTGGGGTCCCTTTCCCCAAGTTTGCTTCAGCATGAGAATATGGAGTGGGAAAAGTCATCCTGTGGTGTGTCTTCCACCTTAGCAATCATTGTGTGGAAACAGCCCTGCTTCTCCCTCAACCCCGATGGCCAGCTCAAAAGTGACAAGGTAGCACACATGGTTCTCTTCCCCACTGTTATCCTCACAACTCTGGGAGGTAGGTTAGCCTGGGAAGCTATGACTGGCTCAAGGTCACCCAGTGGCCGAGTGGGGATTTGAGCCCTAGTCTCCTGGGTCCTAGTCCCACACTCTAACAACTACACCACACTAGCTTTCTTTTTTTGGTGGAAATAGCCTAGTTGTGTCAGCAGTGAAATGTGAGTGTAGGAGCTCACAAGTGACAGCCATGACAACTTGTGTGATTGTGAAGAAACATCTCACCTGAGCATCAGCACTCATAAATGTGGAGATGGTGGGGCTCCCAGCTCAAATAAGGCACCACTCCTAGAAATAAATTTCTCCTGAGAATAAAATTGTATCACACTTGCAGCTGAACCTTCGGAGAGTGCAGTCCACAGGGATTGTGCAGAAGGAGAGCAGACAGAATCTTTCCGCGGTGACGCGGAAAGGCAGGAAGCACCTGCGCAAGGAGGCAGACTCCATCTTCCACGCCAAGCCGGGCCAGGTCGGGCGTATCAGGAGGAACTCAAACCAGAATTCTGACCAAGGTAAAAAGGAAAAGGAGGTTTTCTTGCTTGGAATCTCTGTCAGCTAAGCCAGCCCCACCAGACCTCCTCCTCTTCCTCCCCTCAACTGTCATCCTGGGGGCAGCCATTCTCTCAGGCTGCCTCAGGGGGAGAGATGGGAAGCAAGAGGGCTAGTGTAATCAGCTTTGCTGGAGGATCATTTCCATCAGGCCCCACCTGCCCCTGAATTGTGCCAGCTGGTCAATATAGGAACAGCTGTGTAGTCCCCGAGTTTTTTATTTTCCTCTCCCCTCCCTGTTCCTTTTCCCTTGCGTGCTGTGTGATTTTTAGCTGATAAGCCTGTCTTGTTTTGATTGCATGTAAGCCACTCTGGGAGCCTTTTGGGCTGAAGAGCAGAGTACAAATGTTATAAATGAATGAATGTCGCACATAACACAAAGATAGCCTCATTGGTCATTAAAAAAACGAAACTCAAATCCCTATGAGGGGAAGTGTATTCATTCAGGCCAACCAAATGTCTTCATTGGTTGGTTTAATATGGATTGTAGTATCCTTAATACAGGGACGCAGGTGGCGCTGTGGGTTTGCCTAGGCAAGAGCCTAGGACTTGCCGATCAGAAGGTTGGCGGTTCGAATCCCTGCGACGGGGTGAGCTCCCGTTACTCGGTCCCTGCTCCTGCCAACCTAGCAGTTTGAAAGCACGTCAAAGTGCAAGTAGATAAATAGGGACCGCTCCAGCGGGAAGGTAGAGTTTTTCCGTGCGCTGCTCTGGTTCGCCAGAAGCGGCTTGGTCATGCTGGCCCCATGACCTGGAAGCTGTACGCCAGCTCCCTCGGCCAATAAGGCGAGATGAGCGCCGCAACCCCAGAGTCAGTCACGACTGGACTAATGGTCACGGGTCCCTTTACCTTTATCCTTCATACAGTAGTAATAAAGATGGTAGAATTCACATAAAGCCCAACCGCATGTAGTATGACCGGTGTGTGTGCTGTGAAGGTTGTGGAAGGTCTCGGGTTGAGCCAGCTTGATTTAAATTTAGGCTGTGCCCCCTGAAGGTTCAGTCTTCCTGTCTTCCATGAATTTGTCCTCAGCTGGTGGCAAGAACTGTGTTTTGTCATAGTGAATCCCATCATGTGTGAGAGATGCTGAAAACTTCTCTGGAATATGACGTAGCTGTGTTATTCATAAGTACCTCTTGGGTGAAATGAAAGGGTGCTCCTAATTTTAAGGGGAAAGGTCATAGGATTCCCCCAAAGTGAAGAAGACTTCAGACTTGCAGGCCATTTGGGTAGGCTGCCTTCGCAATCCCATTTCCTCTGGTAAGGATGCCCCAGGATACGAAAGAACGTTTTCTCAAAATGTTTTATTTTCCTACAGATGAAGGAAGTGTTTACAAAAGAAAAGGTGTAAGGGAAGAGATACAGAATGCCCAGGAAATCAGAGATGATGAAAACACGCAGGTGGAATTGCCTCTTGACCAGGTATGAGGGGGTTATGTGGGCCTCTCTTTAGGTCAACACCTTCTGGATTGATTTTATGAATGGAAACTGTCACCACTGCAAAGAATCCCAGTGGGTGTCGAAACTTCAGCAGGAAGAATTCACTCTCAAAATGTGTCGGGGGGAGGAGTTATGGAGAACTCTGAATATTGGGTTGGAGTCTCTTTGCCTTTACATTGACTTGAAAGCTGAAAGCTTTTTTAGATCGCCATCCTCACACAAGGAGCCTGTTGTTAAATTTTACATTCCAATTGTGGCCACGATTCTAAAAAGCAACTGGCTTTGTGGCTGTGGCCAACTTACTGTACAGCCCTCTACACAGAAGCAAGTCCCATTTTCTTCACTGGGACTTACTGCTGTATGGAGCAACAAAGCACTTCTCCAGCTGTGTGTGTTGTGAATCCTCCTGGGCCTCTTCAATTCTATCTCCCCGTTTTTCCAGAAAGCTGCAGAGACTGTAGAAGAGGAAGTTGTGCCCAAAAGTGAAGCTTTGCAATGCAGGAAGGTAAAGTAGCCGGAAAGTAAAGTAGCTGTCTCAGAGAAATGTGCATGTTGTCTGCAGCACCTTTCACAGAAAAAAAACATATCCATAGTTTAACCCCTTCACCTTAGAAAAGGTGGTTAATCACTTGAGCACAAAATACCATTTATTCTTGCACGTGTTACCTTTTTCTAAGGCAGGGGTGGGGTACATCAGTGGCCCTCCACATCTTGCAGGGCTCCCAAGTCTCATTGTCCCCTGCAGGCAGCATGGCCCAATGGTCAGGGATGATGGGAGTTGTAGTCCAGCAACACCTGGGGCACCACAAGTCCCCCATCCCTGTTCTCTTCCTACAGCCCTCCTACTCCAGCACTTGCACCCCAGTCCAACCTTCCTTCCAATGCCCTCTGGATGCTTATTTCAATATTTTATGGAGACAGCACTAGCCTTGTTTTTTAATTTCTAATTCTTTATGCATCAAGTAGGTTGAGAATACTGACAAACTACAGAAGGCCCACACAATTCAGTGTTCTGCTGGTGACTCACAGGAAGAAGTGACAAGAAAGCCTCCTTTCCATCCGGCTTGAAGAAACTTTGTTTCACCTGAGAAAAGACTGTGGTAACACAAAGACCCGGCAAGGCTTTTCCTAGATATGCGTGTGTGTGAGATCCTTAAACAACCACATGCTGGTTTTGTGCAATCTTCGACTCAAATGCTTATCTTATGGATGTTCTTACAATAAAGATGTAGCATTGGAATGCTCTCTACTTTGGAATGTACATCTGAGGATCACATCACAGAGGTGGGCTGTGGTGGTGGGATCCAGGAGGCGGAAAGGGGTGCAGACCTCAATGGGACTGTGTATGTGAGACAACTGATACTTGCTAGTTTAATACAGTGACACACACAAATATGAGAATGGGTAAACAGGACAGTTAACAAAATAAAAAAAATTCCTTCCAGTAGAGACCAAGTTTGTTACTGGTATGAGCTTTCATGTGCATGCACACTTCTTGAGATACACTGAAACATAAGTTACCAGACCCTTATATATAGTGAGAGGGTGGGGAGGGTATTACTCAGAAGGGTGGCGGGAATGGGTGATTGGCTGATAGGTGTGGTAAACCTGTTGACTGCAATTCCTACCACCCTTCTGAGTAATACTCCTCCCCACCCTCTCACTCTATATAAGGGTCTGGTGACTTCTGTTTCAGTGTATCTGAAGAAGTGTGCATGCACACGAAAGCTCATACCAATAACTTAGTTGGTCTCTAAGGTGCTACTGGAAGGATTTTTTGTTTCGACTATGGCAGACCAACACGGCTACCTACCTGTAACTACGACAGTTAACATCATAGATACCAGGGGTGTGCAAGAGAAAGTGTGCATGTACTCACTTAACTTTTCCAAGGGATTTGTGCAAAAGTTGGGTCCAGTAGAATTAATCTGAGCCTTGAGAGCACATCGTGTGGGAAACGGGTGTCCAACTGCCTCCTTCAGTTCTAAGTACTTTTCAAGGGAGAAGGTGGTAAGGAACCTCATCATCTCATGATCAAGGGGGCAGTGAGCCAGGAGTTCAGGGGCTTTATGTGGGCTGGGAGACATCATTGTGGCAGTGCAAGTCAGACTGGCAAACTGTGTCTTAAAATAATTTTTTCTCAATTCTTGTTCATACTATAACCACATTTGCTATAAAATTGATTCTGACCCAGATTTGGGATTGAAAATGTGTTGATGGTCCTGCTAGATGGTCTATACCAGTGGAGGGTGCGTGCGAGTATATTGGCTCTCCTATAGCTTTTCAGCTTTTAATACTAATATGTTTTGAAGGGAGGGAACTGGCACTACACTTTAGTGACTTATCTAGCTGATAGCAATCCTAGGGGACTGCTGCTCTGCCCCAAGGCTCCTCTTGGCTGTGTCACCCTCCTGTGCCCTCCCCATTCATTTGCTCAGGGGCCCTTTCATTTCTTGGATGGATTTTTAAATGTCATTGTAAGCTGCCTTGGGAACTAAGGCTGAGAGATGGGGAACAAATACATAATTGCAAGGCTTTATTTAAATATGAGGCAGTGTGGGGAGACAGACTGTTTAATAATGCATCTCTGTCTTCAAGCAAACATACATTAGCATTCACCATATACTGTCATTACAAAACATTTATTTAGTGTCAACAGTGCATAACACCCCTCTCAATTCCAGACTAAGGTTGCCATATTTTGAAGAACAAAAAAGAGGACACATTTGCTAACTTCAACTTTTAATTACCTTATGGTATGTCACTTTCAAATGCACTTTGTTCTTCTTTCTGATGTTGTCTGGCCCAAGCATATTTCTCTGTAGATCTTATCTTATTCAACAACTGCTTATTGCGTAAGAGATAAGCATGAAATTCCTTGCAAGTAAAGTGCTTATAATTATATTGTACTAGCAATATACTCCGCAGCGATTCCAAGGATAAGTGGCCTCTTTCTTTGCTCCACCAACTCTGCATCAAAGAGAAAATGTGTTCCATATTTGCATTATCATGTGATGCAACAGCAAAAAAAAACTGTGCAATCTTCAAAAGTTCTGAGTGGCACATGTTTTGGGAAGTCTCAAAGTACTTGGTCCACTTCTGATGTGCCTGAAGATTAATGAACTTATCATCACCTTTGTATTGATCCACAAACTTCTTGAGGTTGCAGAATTGATCAAAGCACTTCACATCATCTATGGAAACATCCCTGTCCAGGAGAAATTTTATGGAAAGTTCTACCTTATCCCACTCAAGTGGCTCACTAAGAGACATCCACATGAAGCATGAAAACTCTTTCATGGACTCCATCCATTTTCCCAGATATTCTATGCAGCTGTCATATAAGCTATTTACATCTGCATAGAATTTGTTACACTCTGCACCAAGACCCTCCTTACGCTTTTCTTCTAGAAGGCTCTTAACTTTGAGGGACATAAAGTTGTTGCTTTTATGTTCATTGAGCACGTTCTGAACACAAAGCAGAACTTTCAGAACCTCTACAACTGAATTATTTTCCCTTTCGAGTTCTAAAATATATGAGTGAAACATACTCATGAGAGACTGCAAGTGCAATAAATAAACCTCACTAAACGCGTGCTCAAAAAACCTTTTTAACACTGTTGGTGGATTATTCTGAGAGAGAAAAAATGCCTTGACAGCTGGAAACACGCGAATGAGTCTATTGACGCCTGGAAATAATGACAACCACCTTGTCTTGCTATGAGATAGCAGCTTTTTGTATTCAGTATCTACAAATTCACAGTACTCCTTTAACTGCTCCGTTCGGACTGTATAGATGTGAAAGTACTGGTATATCTTGAAAATGATGCTCTCAACATCAATGTCCAAAGTTTCTGCTGCCTGATGAACACAATTATTCAAAATGTGTCCTGGACATCCCACACCAATTAAAGTTTTGTTATCTAGCTCATTGTTCAACTTTGCAAACACATTTCTTCCTTCTGAATCCCATCGTATCCCTCCAAACATTGTGTTGCAGTTGTCACCTATGAATGCTATGCATTTCTTTAGCAGTCCTTTACTTTCAAGAGTTTCCTTCACGTATGACAAGATTGTATCTGCAGTCTCATTGGGTTGGCTTTGCATTTCAATTATTTTGGACTGCAAACCACCACTTTTCCAGTCAAAATACTGAATAACTATTGGAAACACCTTTACTGAACCATGGTTACTCCCATCAGTAGAAACTCCACAATAACATACGTCATTTTCTTCAATGCTTTTCAAAACATTTTCCAAACAATCGGGTGCCAAGACAGAATTTACAATTGCTTCTGTCTTGGTTTTTGCACTTGAAAACTTCCTTGCGATATTGGAATCCGGGAATGTCGTCTTCAGTAGGCCTGATGTGCACGCCATCACATTATAACTGTTGTGGTGCTTAACAGTGTGAAAAGCAAAAGTTCCTTCAGCTGCAGTTACTTCATCTTCCAATTTGCTACATGGTTTTATGAAAAAGTCTGTTAATTGTGCTGAGGAAGCTTCGCCTCGAATTGCTTTTTTGTGTTTTTCGGACTCCACGTGTGATTGCAAGTCACGTCCTCCTTTATTTGCCACAGAGACAAATGTACCCGGTTTACATATCATGCATTCACCTTCAAAATCATCTCTACCTCTTCTAAAACAGGTATACTTCTTCTGTAGCCCAACAGAAAATTTACATTTTCTTTTCGGCATTTTGTTGTGTCGAAGCACTAAATCTCAGCTTTGCCTGAAATGACTGAACCAGAAAGCAAAAACAGCTCTTGAAAGTAGTATGAAGAGCTTAAGAAGTTTATACAATTATCCATTCCATGTGGGAAAATATTAGTCCAAGGTGTTATCCTGAATTTAAGGAGAATTTCAAAAGTTCATGAGGTGGGTTCTGCAGAGTTCAGAAGTGTTTGAAGTGGAAAAGTTACTGAGCTGGTTTTAATCCCAATTCACTTTTTAGTCAACGTTTTCCCTTTCAACCGAAGCCGACTCTGCAGGTCAACATCCAGCTACCTTTTGTCCCCCACAAGTGAGGCAACAGGTTGCAAAATATCCAGGCCTCATGTTCAGAATCCAGATCACCTAGAAGGCCAGGCTGGGAAGAAGAGACAAGACACATTGCAATCAGTGTTCCTTTCTCCAGACGTGAACACCATGTACTTGTGAACAAGGAAGCCTTAAAATAAGAACATGCAACGAAATCCACACCGATTGCGCTGGAAGCATACGCTAAAGTCGGCAGCAAAAAGGAGGTGAGAATGTCTTACTGCAAGGTGAAACAGCGATACTGTACTATCATGGGAGGCAGGCGCGAAGGAAACCGGAGGAATTAAAACTGTCACCAAGCACGCTCCTTGGCCCAACGAAGTAGCAGAAGAGAAGACAGTCCTCGGTGAAAGGAGGAGTTGCAGTTGCAACCCCAAGGCATAAGAGTTACTTGGGGAAAGTCCCCGTTACGCACCGTGTGGCTTATTTCCGAGTAAACACGAAACAGGACGACGCTGCAAACCACCAGAGGTGGCAAGCTCGGATCCGGGACCCGAGGAAAGAAAGAGGGGGCGGAGGAGGAAAAGCGCCCGCGGATCTCAGCGCCCAACCTGCGTGAGTGCGCGCGCGTTTCCTGCACTTCTCCTCCTCCCCTCCCATTTCATAGCCAGGTAAAGTCGGGTACGACTCCCCCCCCCCGCCCCAGGTTGCCCTATCTACACTCTCCCTCCCTCCCTCGCAATCCGCCTCCAACTGCCGCCCCTCGACCAAGCTGAACCCCAACGGAACTTCAGTCCCATTATTTTTTCCCCTTCGAAGAAGAAAGGAGACGGGGGAAGGACGGAGGCCACATGCTCGAGGAAGGGGCGAAAGACCTATGGGAAAGAACTATGGGAGCCTCAGAGCCCGGCTTCTCCTCCCTCTCCCCCCCCCCGGGACGAGCCCCGCCCCCCACACGCAAGCATTCTTTCTTCCGCTTCCTCTTCCCTCAGGCCGGTCGGCGGTGTGGAGGGAGAAGGAGGAAGCGGCGTCGCCGCCGTGACTCTCACCTGTCAGCCAAGTTCCGGCAAAGCACAGCAGCTCCAGTCGGGATCCCGGATTTTGAACGCTCCTCTTTGCCGCCGTTTCTCCCCCGCCGCGCCCACAAGGCCTAGCTCCAGTCTGCCAGCCAGTTCCAAAATGGCGCGGCTTAGAGGCGCATGCGCGATGCCTTGCGAACAAGCCTCGCGAGAACTTGCCGCCAACAGCCGCCGCGACTTGGCTGCGGGCGGGGGGGGGCAGGTGGATTGGGGGGAGATCAGTGGGGAGATTATATTACATTAAATATATCATATCCACTGGCGCCGACACAATGGGGCCTGAGGGGGCTCGAGCCCCCCCAATAATTTGTTTGGGGGGGCTCAGCCCCCCAATAATCGCGGGCGCCCGCCCCTCCAGCAGAGCGCCGCCGCCGTCCCCCGCCTCCTCCCCACCTGCTCCCTCGCCAGCCAGCCGCGCGCCCTAGCCGGAGAGCCCCGCGAGATTAGGGAATCCCCGGGCGGGGGCTCCTGCCTCGCTGCTTCGCGAGAACAGGGGAATCCCGACCGGCCACGCCTCCCAGCCAGCCGATTGGCTGGCTGGGGGGCGTGGCTTGCCCTATTTAGGGCCGGAGCAGAGGGGGCTCGCCCTCTCTTCTCCGGCTAGCCCCCACGTTTTCCAGCTGATCCTGTCGTCGTTGGTGCCTTTTTCCTTCTATCACGTGGAGCTTAAGCGCAGCAGGCGCTGATCCTTCCGGGCAAAGCTGCAGCTGCTGTTTGCATTTCGAGCTGAAATCACTAAAGGAAATTTAATTCCTTCTGGAGTCCGAGCTCCACTTCAACTGCTAGCTTTCTGGGGCTGAAATCACTTGCAGCGCAGCTTCAGTTGCAAGCTTTCCCGGGCGGAAATCACTCGCAGCGCAGGGGTGGGCTTTATTCTCATAGGTCCTTTTGTCTGAAAGAGGCTGCTTGGCATAGTTCAGCGCAGCTTTTCTCCACATCGGCTTAAGAGAGGTAAAGGCGACAGTAGCAGCTGCATCGTTGCCGGGTGAGACGCGTCCTTGTATTGTGGTATTGTGCACTGGCTGCCTCTGCGCCAAGGATCACACGTGAGTAGAAAAATCTGGGAGAGTCCAGGGGATCCTTTAGCAGCACGCCGGCTGTGAGAAGGGGCGGCGGGGTTGCTTAGTAACGATCTCTTCCTGATAGCCCTTTAAGGAGCCACGTGACCAGGGGGACGGCCGCCATCTTAATAGGGGCAATTTTTGTGGGAATATTCCTTTAAATCAGTACAGGTCTTCGACTTGAAGCATTGAAAAGGGGAGTGAGGTGTGTGCCTGGTGTGTATTGTGTAGTGTGATTTGATTTGCCGGCTCCCACAGGGTGCTGTGGGGGGGGGAGCTTTTCTTCAGTGCGCCCGGGTTGAGGCTTATTGTTTCAGACACAGAGGCAGGACGCTGGCAGCCAGGGACAGGAAGTTGATAGCTGTGTTGCTTGGTAACCAGGAAGTTGCGGTCGCCATTTTGAGCTAACCACGTGGTTTGGCCCGGCGGCCATTTTAGGTGAGGCACTCTGTTGTGGGAATTAGATACTCAGTGCTCAGTGTGAGTGCTTCTGCTGTTTATTTCTCTAAAGCTAAGCATAGGAGGCCGATTTTCATAACCTTTAGGCTTTATAAGTGACAATATAGCTCAATTGGTGGATTGGAAGAGAACAAGTTATTTAAGTTAAGCATTTTAAGAGCTCATAGAGGTTTGACTCTGAGTGTTATTATATTAAAGCGCTTTAATTAGGGCTTTAGCGCTCCAAGGATATATATGCAACCCTGAAATATAATTAATTTGATTGCTTTAATAAGTGCTTGCAGTAGTCAACTTATTGCTTGATTCCAATTGTATTTAAACTTATCGAGTGTGGATTCATTTTGGTAATTTAATTCATTTGGTTGGAACTTTAAATTCATTTTGGTTGACTAAGAGAAAGGGCAGATCAATTGCTGCTGGATTCTGATTGTATATCAATTTGATTTAATTGGTGATTAGATTCATTTGGTTGATTTAAGTCCTTTGGTTAGTTAATTACCTCATTGCCTTAGTGTGTTGTTAAGAAACAGTATTTAATATTGCAGGCCAATTTAATTACTTAATTCCGTTTAAATTAATTGGAAGTTGGTTCATTAGGCCAACTCATTTTATTTAGTGGTTACTTTAAATTTATTTGCTTGATCAGGAGCAAGGGCAGTTACTGCCCCCTGCCTACAGTACCCACCCCTTCTGTTTAAAAAACAGTTGAACGCATTATATATATATATATAAATAAAATAATAATAATAATATTCAAAATAAGATAAAATAAATTTTGCTAGTTGGATTTAATTTCAGAAGGAATCAAGGGATTTAAGTGCATAAGTGATTTAATTGCTGGGGATTTAAATTGCATAAGGTTCTGCATAAGGTAGAGGCCATATAGATTATTGCAATTAATTCGCTTTCGTGGTTCTTATTGGCGGAATTTGTCCTGCTTTGCCTCAGTGCCGAGTAGAGTGGAGGTTTGGGACTGCAATTTGAATGCTGTAAATAACTCTACGTGAATTTTGCTGAGGGGGCACAGTGCCTGGTTTAGCGGTGATTCTTGGCACTGGCCACTAAGCCTCTCATTCCTCCCTCTAGCTAAAAAATTATAGCCTGCAAGCAAATAAGGGTTCTTTCACTGGGAATTTGTTGCCTTAATTAACAAATAAGGGTTCTCTTTCACTAGGAATTTGTTGCCTTCATTAATTGATTTGGGGAAATTTTAAGTTGAGCCTTTTGGATAGAAACACAATTCTAGATATAGTTAGAGAACTAATAATAGCATATTCATAAATAAAAAATAATAATATAATAAATCTGGGCCTGAGCTAGCGTTAACAGGATTTGAGTCACAGCTACCGGGGTACGTTTTTTTGGAATAGGCGCTGTTTAATCCTAAAGAGTAAGGTTACAGCTAAGTCAGGGCGAGATTGACTCAGCTGTCACAGCCAGCAATTTTAATTTTAAGTGGAACCTTACCCAGTGCTGACAATTCTGAGCTGACTTGGCCGGTGCCACAGTTTAGGAACAGTGGGTCAGTGTAGATAATACTGAGCTTGGCCATCCAGCCTAGCCAGCTTCTACGTTGTGGCCGTCCCCGTCCCCTATATTGTATTCGTTTACTTTAGTCTCTTAGTGTATTGTGAATTAAGTTTGCAATGGATAAATTTGTTACCAAAAAGGCGCGCTTGGAAGTTGATGATACTAAAAGTCAACCTCCGACAATAAATGTTTCGTCAATTGCTTTGTTGTCTTCATGCGAGAACCGTTCACAGCCGAAACCTGGACAATCCGTTAAGGGAAGATCTTTTCAGAAGTCTTGGTTGATCAAATATACATGGCTAGAATATGAAGCATGTACCCAAAAAGTTTTTTGCAAAACCTGCAAAGAGGCAGATGCTAAAAATCTATTACAATTTTCTTCAAAAAAAGAAGATGCATTTATTTCCGTAGGGTTTTCTAACTGGAAAAAGGCTTTGGAAAAATTCCGTCTTCATGAAAATACATTTACGCATAAAGAAGGTGTTCTGAAACTAAATTCCATCAATAACCGAAGTGTGGCCTCCCAATTGAATGAACAGTTACATAGTGATATGAAGAAAGGCCGTTCAGCTCTTGAGGCAATTTTTACTACCGTTCTATTTTTATGCCGACAAGGACTAGCAATTAGAGGGCACGAAGATGTAAACTCTAATTTTTTTCAATTGTTGGAACTCCGAAAGAATGACGTACCTGAGTTAAAAGATTGGTTAGGGCGTTCGGGGTATAAGTGGACGTCCCACGAAATTCAAAACGAGATAATTGATCTACTTGGAAAGTCTGTGTTGAGAAAAGTATTGGCTTCAATCAAGAAGACTGAACATTTTTCTATTATTGTTGACGAAACAAGTGATTCTTCGCTTCACGAACAAGTGTCATTTTGTATTCGTACTGTCGATGATGATTCCTTAATTATCAACGAAGACTTTATTGGCTTATACGAGACCCCCAACACTGAATCACAAACTCTGTTTAGTATTTTAAAAGACGTATTTGCTCGTCTTGATTTGTCAATGGATAACTTAAGAGGACAGTGCTATGATGGTGCCTCGAATATGAGAGGCAAGTTCAAAGGACTAAAAAAGTTAGTTTTGGATATACAACCAAAAGCACATTATGTGCACTGCACTGCTCACAGTTTAAACTTGGCAGTTGTAGACAGTCTCCGCCATCTTACGTCTATGAGGGATATTATGGCCTTAGCCAAGGACTTAATAAACACCGTAAGGGAATCCAACAAAAGGATGGAACTTTTCAGAAGCATACGCTGTGAGAGCGCCAACGACCAAGCTGGTCTACGACCCCTTTGCCCGACTCGATGGACTATGCGAGCTTCTAGTATCTTGAGAATATTGAAAAACTTTAAAGAACTTCTAGAGTTTTTTGAAACATTTTCTGCGGAGGACAAAACAGAGGCAGGTTACAAATGTGCAGGCTACCTTGAGTCAATGTTACAATTCAAAACTTATTTCTTTTTACGTCTTTATTGCCATGCAATGAACCCAGTAGAGGATGTCAATGAAAAAATTCAGTGCCCTCATCTAAGTGTTGCTGATCTGGAAAAAATATATGAGGGCTTGATTTGTATATTGAATGGAAGGCGTGATAGTTTTGAACACTTTTGGGAATTGTGTTTAAAAGAAAAACCTTCACAAGTTGATGATCCTTCGCTTCCTCGGAATCGACGTATACCAAAGAAGTATGAAAACAACGAAGCCAGCTCACCGCACACTTTCAGAACCCCAAAGGAATACTACAAAGCTATTTACATTGAGGTTTTTGAAACGGTGCAATCTTGCATTACTGAGCGGTTTGCATCAACTGGATTCACACAGGTCATTGCAGTTGAACAAGAGTGCTTGCTTTTAGTAAACAGAGGTGAAACAAATTTTGAAAAATCAACTGAGTTTTTCAAAAATGACTTAGACATTGAGAGACTGCGCTTACACTTGAATATGTTAGCCGATATCGCTAATAAAAAACAACTGGTCTTAAAAAACATGCGTGATGTGAGAAAGTACATTGCACAAGAGCCTGCAGTTGGAGAAATGTTATGTGAAGTAGTGAAGTGCATTAAGCTTCTCCAAGTAGTTCCAATCACGACAGCAACAGCAGAACGGTCATTTAGCGCCCTTAGACGTCTGAAGTCATATCTCCGATCAACAATGGGACAGAAGCGATTGAACAACTTGGCTGTTCTTCAAGCCCATCGAGATGTTTTGGATGAATTGGATATCCGACCAGTCATCAACGACTTCATATTCAGTAATCCAGTCAGACGGTCGACATTTGCACCTTTCTAAAGGCACTCTAGCCCTAATAATGGTATTTCGAGCAATATTAAAAATCTTTATAAAATAAAATACCGTGCGTGTTTATGTTTTGTTTCTTTTTTCAAAGCCAAAAAGTGTTTCAGGCTTGTCGAGTTTCCCCGAGTGTGGAGTTATAGTCGAGTTTTGGGGGTTCTAATGTTGATCATATGACTCAAAAATACTTTTTAAAAACTTTAAAACTCGCTAATTTTCATCTAAAATTTAGAAAACTTCCCGGGGCAGGGCCCCTGTATGAGCCCCCCCAATATTTTTTATAAGTCGGCGCCCCTGATCATATCATACCGGTATATCAACCTGCATCTTTCTGTTATAACGGATTAGCGTATAGGATGAGCCCTAAAATAAGGGGCAGTTATTTGAAGAAACGGGACTAAAATGCAGTGAACGATATTATAGGCGCCTGCTGAGAAACCCTCGACCGATGCTGCTTAATGTAACTACCAACAATTTGGAAGCAAATGACGGAAGACATTCGCCTCCGTCATCAAGCCCGGAGAACGAAGAGAGCGCCTCGACAGCGCCACTTCGCGGCCGCTCTGAGGAACTTAAGGAAAAAGGAAGAAGGAAAAAGCCCGCGCTTGTCGCGCTTCGCTGACGTCATCGAGAGACGCGGTTGCCAGGGCAGCCAACGCCGAGGAAGATGATGGAGGAGAGCGAGGAAGAGCGGCAGCGACTGATGCTGAGGAGGAGAGTGGTGACGCTTCAGGTGCCGGAAGCAGGATAGTGGGTGGCACCGGTTGGCATGGTGGACCTGCCACTCAAGGCAGACCTAGGGGTGCTCGTCCTCATGCTTTGGCTTCCTATCGTGGTCTCATGCCCCCTGGGGACCCTGAAAAGGAGCAGCAGCCCTGGGAGGGCGGGAGGCTTGGTGTGGGTGCAAAGCAGAGAAGAGGAGCTTCTGCATGCAAAGCAGATGCTCTACCGCTGAGCCATTACTCTCCCTTCCCAACATGGCCTGCTTTGCATAAATACACATTTCACCCATCCCACCCCTTTCCTCAGTGATTCCCTTGTAGCAAATAAACTGCTCTGCTTAAAGCATTTTGTTCTGCTGCTGCTGTTTTTCAATGGAAATGGTGGCTTCTGTTAAAGAATGCCCAGAGGGAAAAGTTCTCAAAAGTCGTGGTGGTAGCGTGTAATATATAAATACGCACACATACATATGCCTTTAGCTCCTCTTTCTTTCCTTTCCTGCCCCCAGCATCTCCTCTCTTGAGATTGGGGTCAGGAGCGCAGTATTCTAGGACTGCCAACTTCCTAACTGGCCTTTCTCCTGCATCTTCTACAGCAGCCTGGCAAAGGTGGAGATAGAAAAACCATCACTATATAATTCCTGCTTGTTGGGCTGCTTTTTAAAGCCACAAGACCAGGAAGTGGGGGGATTCATGGCAACCCTAGAAGGCTGGCCTGTGTGGACTTGTCTTATTAAACCAGGCTTGAGCTAATGGCCTTTAATTCCTTCCTAATTTGTGATTGTTATTTTTTTATAATTCATTTACTTCCTAGGCTCATGTCAGGGGTTACCTGGTCAGGAAGAGATTTCAAAGCTTAAAGGGGGAATATGAGAGCATCGTCAAGGAGATTGAAGGGGCTCTGGATTGGCTGAAGTGGGACAGTCATTCCATGCCTGTGCCGGTGTTTCTTCCAAAGGTACGGTTACTGGTTCTTTCTGCTCTTGGTAGAAGCTGGCAGTGCTTATAATTTTGCTGGCTTTTAATTGCACAAGGAGGAAAGAGAAGAGGGAAATGAAAACTGACATCAGTAAAAGTGTGGGTGATACTTAATGTTGCAGCCATGCATTGAAAATGGTGCTCTTCTTCCTCTGTCTTAAATATAGTCTGTCCAGAAACCAATAAAAGCCAAGGAATTAAGTGTCCAAGACCCAGAGGCCAACAAGAACAAGTTGCATGAAAAGGAGGCAGCGCTTTGTCATCAAGAAGAGCTACTCTCCAAAAAAGACCTTGATTGCAAGATGCAATCACCAGCTGAAGTGGTGGCAGAAACTGAGGCTGAGGAACATCTTGTGGGCAGGCCCCCTGGGAATGCTTGCAGCTTGCCAGGAGAGAGTGAGGAAGGCATGCACCACAGTAGCATGTCGTCCGAATGGAGCAGCATGATCCTCAACATGGAGTCTCCGAGGATGAGCCAAGGTAAGGCATGTGGAACAATTTGAGACTCCAAGCTCCCACCCACTGTCTTCCTTTGCTTTGCAGTACAGCTGCTGTTTTTCTCTGTTCTTCAGCATCATCACCCAACATAGTGCTTTTTGCTTATGCTGAAAAGGCAAGTCCCTGCCCCAATAAACTTACCTGGTAGTGGGGGGCAGGGAAGAGGAGCCAACTGGAGGGGAGAGACAAGGGGGGGCAGACTAAGAGTGGTTTCTTGACCTTTTGTGCCCCTCTTCTTGTGCAGAGCTTCATTTCCAAAGAGTACCAGAGATGCCCCAAGCTGTGCCTGACCTCCAGTGCTACCGAAAGCACCTGGCCATGGAGCTGCTGTGGCTGCAACAAGCGATTGCCAGCCGTAAGAACGTAAGAGCTGGTCCTCAAGGAGCCATGGGGTGTCTTCTGTGCATGGGGAGGAGATGCTAGAAGAGCCAGTGCTGTGGTGCGGAGCTGTGACTTCTTGTTCACACCTTTGTAAGATGCCTACAGCACCCTCCCACCATTGAGAAAAGAGCTGGTGGGTCTGGGATGATCCCTCAGCTTTTGTTTCTTTTAAACTCAGTGGGTGGGTAAAAGGTAAAGATAAAGGGACCTCTGACAAGTCCAGTCGCGAACGACTCTGGGGTTGCGGCGCTCATCTCACTTACAGGCCGAGGAAGCTGGCGTTTGTCCGCTTCCGCACAGTTCAGCACCAAATAGCTAAAACTGTCAAAGGCACTATCCATTGGAGTCTAATGGGGGTACTGGTGCTTATTGCAATTTAATATTCATTTCAGAACCAATGGTGCCCTAGGTGGTGTACAAAGGACAATACTTTCCTCTCTCTTTTCTCCCGCCCTCCCTCTTCATAGTATTTGATCCTGAAACAGAAGTTGGGGAGCCCAGAGTGACTGCCGACTTGGAGGTCTCCAGCCTATGTTCCCAGTCAAACAGAAACAGATGTAACTGCTCTTACCAGCCATCAGGGGGAAGAAAGCATTGGGGGAGCAGCTCCCACCATGACTACAGGGAAAGGCTTGTAGTTCCCTGGAGTTGGCTACTCCACATGCCCCCAGCTTTGATGTTTGTGAAAGCAACAGTGAAGATCCTCTTCCGATTTATCTGTTGTGAGTGAGGCTCAGAGCCCATTTCTACAGACTGATAGCTGGTCTACCTTGGATGAAATATGAACTTTACATGAGCTATTAGCACGCTTTATGGTCTCTGTATTGGCTTGTTCTGCAGTCTGTTGGTTGTTGACCTTGGCTGCATGTGGATGATTTGACAGAAGGAGGTAAGTCCCAAATTGGAGGCAGAGCTTTGTGGCTTCATAGAGTTCAGCTCCCGTAACTGTACTCCAGAGCTTACAAATATTACTGTGAAGTGACAGACATGGCTCTTAACCTTTGTAGAACAGGCTGCATTCAAGCCACACAGTGTTTAGATGTGCATCAGCACACCCACAACCACATCTCCATCCTCCATGGACAATTTCTAAAAAGAGTTAAATGCACACCTGTGACAGAGGGTGTAGTGCAGAGACTTTTAAGGGAAGATGGATGAAGAAAAAGCTGATACTGTGGAGAACACACAAGAGGATAACAACTGGGTGGCATCATCATGGAGGTGTCCCATAATAAATGAGGGAACAATGTGTTATCTCTTCTAAATGTGCAAAACAAGTGCTGTTGGACTCTAGGGGAACTGCAAGTGTCTAGCGTAGACAACTCCTGAATGTCTCTATTCCATTACTTACTTTGTTGTCCTTGTTCTCATGTTGCACTAGGCCAAACCATGGCTTACTGAGACCAAAGAAGAACTCAAGTCCACTATGGTCTCCCTGCTACTTGCCTTACTCCTACTTTTGATGAGATGCTCTTTAGAAGGTGCCCCATGCAAACAGGACCTCTCTGCAGCTAGAAACTTGGATTTTCAAAGGGATAAAATGGCTATCAAGAGCACTGGCCAGGCACCCAATATCCTGGTCCCAGGCTTCTTTGGGGAGAGGAGAGATACAGCCGTGACTACTTGAAACTAAACAAGCACATGCACAAGCCTGGCTAAGAACCAGTTTCCTTCAGAACCTCTAGGCTCCCAGTTTGGCAGAGCTCCAGGCAGTCCATTCTGGCCAGAAAGAAGAGACTCTGCCTGAAGTTTTGGCTTCCTGTTTCCTTCAAGGGGTTGAAGGGAGTTTCTGAACCTGTATTTTTTTTGGCAGTTTGTATATCATGGTTCCCTCTTAAAGAATAGATGTCGCTTGATAAGTGGTATGTTCTATGGCACGTCCCTTTGTTTGTCCTGCTCATAACCCTAAAGGGACTCAAGGAGGCAGGTGACTAGAGAGAGAATGTTGAGAGGATGTTTAACACTGTTTGGGGTCTCATCACCCACACTTGTAGGGATCAAGACATTTGCCCCCTTTTAATGGAACGGGAAGAAATTCACTTAGTCAGGACCTTTCGACTCTTAGCTCTGGCACAACCAGAACCTCTTAGAAGTTGAAATTAAAACCTGACCTACCCAATTCAGTTTGGGTGGGGGAATAGCAAGGAGGGCACCACAAATAAAATTTATGTCTGCAAGAGTCTAAGATAGGCTTCCTCAACCTCGGCCCTCCAGATGCTTTTGGCCTACAACTCCCATGAACCCTAGCCAGCAGGATTAGTGGTCAGGGATGATGGGAATTGTAGTCTCAAAACATCTGGAGGGCTGAGGTTGAGGAAGCCTATCTTAGACTCTTGCAGACATAAATTTTATTTGTGGTGCCCTCCTTGCTATTCCCCCACCCAAACTGAATTGGGTAGGTCAGGTTTTAATTTCAACAGTAATTGCCAGCTAAATGATGTTTGTTTTGGTGGGGTGGTCATAAGCCTCACTCATTAACTTCCCCCTTACACCAGATAATATAAGGAAAATGATATTAAGCCTCACTTAAGAAGCTGGCATAATAACCTTCCCATGCACAGACAGAAAGAAGTGGCACACAAGCCTTGAAAATATGTGGGGCAGGATAGGACCCAGAAGGATTTCAGGGTGACTGGAGACACTGGCTTTGGAGATGCTGTGTGCGTGAAATCCCAACACAGTTGATGATGTGGATACAAAAAACAGATGTCACATTCCTAACTTTCAACAGATGGGAAGAGGGAAGACCCTGGGCTGGCACAGGCTCTCTTTGGGGCATCTGGACCCAGAAGCCTTGCCTTCTTTTCCCACTCCCTAGATGCAGGATGGCTTCCTTCCCCCAACACCCTTTCTCATCCCCTCATCCACTGCATTCCAGGCAACTTCCTGCCCAGCCCCCCCCCCCCCCGCCTGCAGGAAAACATCTGGCTCCAATTAGAGCAGCAGCAGGAGGAGAGGACGGGCTATTTTTATCAAGCCAAACTAGGGAGGAGTGGGATAAAGAGCAAAAGGAGCAGGGAGGAAGGGGTGTGTGCCTTGAGCCCTTTTTGTCCCAGGACCAATGACCCCAAATGTCCTACCAGGGGCCAGATGCTGTCACGGGTGGGGTTTGTTTTCTTGGATGGAAGAATTGGTTGCTTTCCCTAATTGCAAAATAAACTCTTTAAGCATCTGATTTTCAGCTGTGCTTGTCCCTGCTCCACACTGCCCATTCCCAGCCCAGACAGATTTACTCTGCTCTCACTCTCCACCCCTCCCACATCACCAGTGCTGTGTCTCTGGGGGAAAACATGCAGCTACTGGACAGAGGCTTTCACCCTGGGAAGCCAACCCCAACCTGACCCCCCCCCGCCCTTCCCACCAGCCTGTTACTGTTTTCCAAGATTGAGACAAGGGACAGGTGGGGGGTGGGGAGGAGGTTTGTGGGAACCAAGCAGAGGGCTCCCAAACAAGGAAGGTCAGTAAGAGCCTTCAAATAGCATGGGTACAAAAAACTCTTCTTCCAATAACACAGGGAAGGTCGGGTGCAGAGGAGAACCAGCCTTTTTCAGGAAAAGACTAGACATCCTTCATGTTGGCTGGTCTCTGTGTGTGTAGATGGGGACAGAGAGAAAGTTAAAGGAAGTTATACTACCAAAATATGCTTGGAACATGGCCAAGAGTCTCTCAGACTCCCCCGCCCTCTCAAACCTCCCATCTGGCTCCTTCCTGTGCATTAGGGGGCTTAGAGAGAGAGGCATTGGCAAAGCATCTCAACCAAAAGAGGTTCCACCAGGGGCAGAGGAAAGCTAGCCTTCCCGCCTGCTTCCCCCATTTTCCTTGTTACCCAGGTAAAATTAGGCAGAGGACCAGAGGTGAGACCACAAGGCAAGTTGTGGAAAACTGGAATGATGTTTATGAAAGATAAGGCACATTTTTACACAAAAGTTTACCGGCCTGTTAAAAACCAAGGTCCTGTGTACAACATGGGTCTGTGCAAAGTTGAAAGAGTCCCCCTCTGGGGTACATGGGCACCAGGCACAAAGCCCCACAGGACCAGTGGGAGGGTTGCTAATCCCCCCTTTTTTTTCCATCCGGGGAAAGAGCCATAAAGGCCACTGGACAATGCTGCTGCTTGATAATACTTAGTCAAACCACACCCTGATTGTGGGATGAGAGGAGTCAGGCAGCAAAGGAAGTGCTGGGGTCATCCCCAAGCTGCCTCCCTGCAGGATGCACCCCAGTTGTGCATCAACCTGGCTGAAGGTGGGATGAGATGAAGTGCTGCACCCTGAGAATTCACTGGGAGTTTCCTGGTAGTGTGGAAAAATACTGAAGTTGGCACTTACCTGTTCCCTATGCAACTCCTTGAAATAATAAGCACCATTTGGGAGGGGTAGGAGAAAAACAGGCTTCCAACACAGCCAGGAAAAAGGGAGATACAGAACTTTGTCACAGTTGATCTGTCTCCCTTGGTATGTGGTTGTGCACAGGTGGGTCGAAGGTCCTTGCAGTCTATTCCCTCCAACCCATCCCTTTAGAGGTATCTGGACAGGTGCAAGAAGACACCACCACCACCCCTGCTGCCACCACAATCCTCCCCAAGAGCACCATATTCCTTTTTTGCCTACTAAATCAGTTAAGCACAATGCAAGCCAGAGTCCTGCATGCAAGTACTGACTTTGGTCTGTTCAGGCTGGTGAACTGCAACCCCCGTACCTTTCTGTTACTGCAGTGGGCACTGCTACACCACTTTCCATGTTCCCTACACATGTCCATTGTGAAAATCAGGAATAGTCCTCACACATAAACAAAGGAACTGGCATTAGTTCTGTGTGCTCCTTTACTAGGCTTGCACTGCCTTCCCTCTCAAGTTCCCAGGAGGAAAAGGAGCAGAGTCCTTGAATTTGCTGTCCAACAGTTTAACTAACTCATCTTGGTCCTTCTTGCCATTTTATCACTGTCACTTGATCCTCTCTCACCCCTGTGCAATACCGGCTGCCTCTTATCTGGCATCAGGGCAGGTCTCGCAATGTTTGAGATACTGGCTGGGTGAAGTGATTAACCATAAATCCCTTGGGGTGAGACAAGGGGGTTCAAGAGTTCAGTAGCAGTCCACCCTGCCCGGATGAGGAATGTGACCATGGCCAACCATGGGTCAATAGTAATGGACTCTGCCAATGGTGCCAGTGCCTGTGCCCAGGATGTCAGGCTGCCCGTTGCGCCAGATCTCCCGGAGGATGCGTTCCCGCTCCTCCAGCCGCTGGGCACGCTCCAGCTCTTCCGCCGAGGCAAAGACGTTGACGGTGAGGGTCCCATCAGGGGTGGAGTGGGCCTCCAGTGGCAGCTCCGTCATAGCCAAGGGGGGCTCAGAAGCCGCTTGGTCAATGGTGTCTTCTTCCTCATCGTCATCATCCTCCTCGTCCTCATCTTCACTGAAGTCGCGTAGGCTTTTTCGGGGCTTGCGGGGGATGGCCTGAGGCTGCCATGAGATGTGGATGACCAGCAGGCAGAGGGTCAAGACAAGGCCAAAGCAGACCCCCAGCACGAAATAAAGGCCAAAGCTCTCAGGGTGATCTAGATGACAGAGACATGGAGGAGAGGGTCAGAAATAGGCTAGGAAAACCACCGAGGAGACTGGCTTTTGAGATTCAAATGGTAGTGAAGGGGACAGAAATGGTTAGGAGCTGGGGCTCCCACAGACTCTGTAGACATTAGGCGGTAAGAAACCGAGCTGATTTGCCATTTCTTTGTGGATGCTGGAATTTTAGTAGCCAAACACTGAAAGACACCAGAGATTTAAACTATTGTGCAGCTGGAGGTGAAGGGCTGTTCAGTACTAAATGCTTAAAACTTAGATAAATACTATGGTGGAGGGAAAGTAGAATGACGTATATAGAAAATATAGGGATACAGTTTCTTCTGTGTGAAATAAAGAAATGGCCTTTGAATAGCTGGGATGTAATGAGGGAATACGGAAGTGGGTACAGGAAGAAGGCAATTAATTTGACATGGTAGTCTTTCGCTGAGGTTTCTTAAATGGTTACCAGAGTATTATTTATTTATTTCACATTGTAAATGCTCAGTTTCAGGCGTTTGTGAATTGCACATCAAGGGATGGATAGCCTTCATCCTCAATGACACAGCTCTATACGAATTAGTTTATGAATGAATGAATGAATGAATGGAAGAGCACGGTGTTGAATGCCTCCCACTGTTTTCCATTATGAAGTCAAGGAGGTATCCTAAATCACACTGCACTGTATGGAGCAATATAACTTTTATAATGTTAAGTTGACCAAGAGGGTTCCTGAACTTGAAATGCAGTGGACTATATTGGCTTCTGGTCCATGGGGTCACGAAGAGTCGGACACGACTAAACGACTAAACAACAACAACAACATATTGGCTTCTGAGAGAAGAAATCCAAAGGCCGGTGGCTAAATTGGCTGGTCAGTTCATAAATGCAGGTAAACCAGACTCCCTTCTGGGGATGGGAAGGAAGGAGGTTGATCTGCCATTTTGAAACAGGAGGAAGATCCTCCATCCACATCCCAAGATAATGTGCTGAGGACGGATAGTGGGAACAAGATGCCACCTCTGGCCAAGTGCCAGAGACTGCCATTGCTCACATATATGTCCGCCCCTGCCCCCATTTCCTGACCCACCTCGGATGTGTGCATAGGCTGCTATACTGTTGCTCAGCAGCTCCATCTCCCGCTTGTGGGTCTCCATGGTGGCTCCTCAGTGGCACCTGGGAAGACAGGGAGGAGGGGTCGTTATTAGCATATTACTCCTGCCCAATTCCTTAGAATTAGGAGACATGGTTCATCTAATGATTCATTCAGACAGGAGGCAGCTCGACTGGAAAGAGGACTAAATGACAGAGGGTGTCCATGAAGAATTGAAGAGAACATTAGGCTAAGGGCCTTCAGAAAGAACACAGAGGACCTTCTGTCCTTGCTCCTTAGCAGGGATATTGATAGAATTGTTTGTGGTCTGAGATAGGACAGTGTCACCAATGGTCTTCAGAATCGTATTCACAAACATTGGCATCTCAAGATAGCGTTCTAGGTTTAGAGAGCAAACCTTTAATCACAAAAGAACAAGGAACTTAAAGGACTGGTTGGTCCACAGCGACTCTAATGTAAAATCCACAACAGTCCATTATCTTAGTAATATCTAAGCTCTCTGGCCACCATCCCTGCAGACACTGCATTCACTGTAATCATAGAAGTAAATTTTTCCAACAGTTTATACCAGCCAACATTTCTCCATGTGCAGTAGCATTTATGTAGTATATGCCATTTGGTGTGCATGCAGGAAACTGTATGTGGGTCAAACACAAAGACCATTACAAATGAGCACCTCAGTAACATGTGGGATAAAAACAAGGTACACCGCCCCCACTGTGAATCATTTCTTAGAACCAGGTCACATAAAGCTGAATGCACGCAAGTTAAACACATGTGGGTTGCAGGTCTACTAAGATGCCTCCAACAAAGGAATTTCTCTAAAATGGGTCGGGCTTTTAATAAATTGATTGTGGCACTCCTGAGAACTCCTCTCTCTTGGTTTTGCTTATACTGTTGGGTGCACAGCCCCAGAACACTTAAGCTTAAAGGGCAAACAGCTGAGATAGTTTTAAATTGCCAAATAAAAGAAACCTTGGGGGCTTGACTGTGCCAAACAACTGCCCCCCCCGGTTAATTAGCAAAACAGCTGCCTTGCTTCCCTCAGGCCCCCAGGCCAGTCATGGGGTTGCTGGACAGGACAGCCTCTCAGGCTACAAAGTCCTGTGACAGTCATCCCTCCCAGGGGGCCTCTTCCGACATGCGTCACACCCCACACCCCGGGCAAGCTTGGATGGAAGCATCTGTCAGTGACTCTGCAAGCTGAAAAGAGGGGCGCCAAAGGATACAAAGAATTTCCTGTGGCATTTAATCCTCTCAATGACCCAGGCCTTTGAGTTTCATGCCCGAACAGGGTTTGAACCCAAGTTTCTCCATACCCAAACCCAATGCATTATTTACACTGCCTTGTCATCCCCCGAGGCCCAATGTTTAATTTACGGTTGTGCATGACCCTGGGAACAGAGTCCCAGCAAATGTTTCCTCTCTTCCCCCATCCCTTAAGCCCCCCACCCCCAGGGCACTTCCTGCCACTGTCACAGGAAAAGATGCATCCTCAGTGGTGGGAAGATGGCTTGTTGTTTGGAGACCGGATGTTGCCTCTTCCTCTGCCCCCACCCAGCAACTGCCGCACTCAGGAGTCTTCCAGGTCAAGGCTATTTCTGGCAGGTTGAAAGGATGTTGCAAAGGGTCCAGAGGACACACTCCAGGGTGGACAGAACAAGGGCCAGGGAAGAAGCTGATAGTCATAGAATTGTAGATGCTGGAAGGAACCCCGAGTATAATCTAGTCCAACCCCTTGCAATGCAGGAATATGTGGCTGTTCCATACGGGGATCAAACCTGGAATCAGAGCAAAAAGGTCTTGGGGACAGAAGGACAGGTTGGGTCTGAGACTCTCAGGTTCAAACTACTTCTGAGTCAAAAGCTTTGAAGATTCTCAAGCTGCATGTGAACACAAATTTTCACCAATATTACTCCCCACAGCACTGACTCCTTAAACAGGGCCTTGGGCAAATAATTATTCCTGGCCCCCACTTCCACTGATTAATAGGTAGAAAGCACCCCCCATTCAGGACAACATGCTGGATTGGATGCCCCCTTGAGCAAGGAGCAGCTCACAGCCACCCATTTTCAGGAGCCACCCAGGCAGATGCCAGCCTCATCTGCAAACAGAACTCTCCCCCCTCACCCCACAAGCTTTTCATGAGTCCAAGATTTCCTAAAGCTCTGAGCGACCCTTTGATGAGAGCCAGGCAGCTGGGCTGGGCAGCAGGCCAGAGAAGAAAGAGGGGTTGTTTTTTGGGAAAAATTACCTCCTCTTCTGAACATGCTAAGGATAAACCATGCAAAGTTATGGGCCCCAAACATAACAACATAAGACCAGCCTGCGGGATCAGGCCCATGGCCCATCTAGTCCAGCATCCTGTTCTCACAGTAGCCAATCAGATGCCCTAAAGGGGAAACAGCAAGCAGGATTTTTCCAGTGGTTTCCAGCAACTGGTATTCAGAAGCGTTGCTGCCTCTGATTGGTTGTGGCTAGTAGTTATCATGGTTGTTAGTCATCAATAGCCCTCTCCTCCGTGTATTTGTCTAAACCGCTTTTAGAGTCATCTAGCTTGGTGACTAAGGGATGCAGGTGGTGCTGTGGGTTAAACCACAGAGCCTAGGACTTGCCGATCAGAAGGTCGGCGGTTCGAATCCCCGCGACGGGGTGAGCTCCCATTACTCAGTCCCTGCTCCTGCCAACCTAGCAGTTCAAAAGCACGTCAAAGTTCAAGTAGATAAATAGGTACCGCTCCAGTGGGAAAGTAAACGGCGTTTCTGTGCGCTGCTCTGGTTCGCCAGAAGCGTCTTAGTCATGCTGGCCACATGACCCGGAAGCTGTACGCCGGCTCCCTCGGCCAATAAAGCAAGATGAGCGCCGCAACCCCAGAGTTGGCCACGACTGGATCTAATGGTCAGGGGTCCCTTTACCTTTACCTAGCTTGGTGACTACCACTGCCTTGTTGATCTGGGGTGTGAGTTTGGTCACTTCTGCTGGGAAGGAGAGCACCTCCTCCTGTTACTTCCCACTGTTCATCTCTACAAGGAATGCAGAGAAGGTCCTGCATCAGGGGTCTGTTCAGCTCCTACCAGACTGGCTAAGCAGTATTTCCACATAAGTTGGGGATAACAAATTGTAAGGGAGGGAACAAGGGGGTGTTGCTGCTAACTTTCAACAAAGGTAAGAACTGCCTGTTCTCATTTGTCTGTGATGTTGAAAAATACGCACAAACCCCTCGACCAACCCCATGGCAGTACAGCAGGGAAGGAATTGGGAAAACCACTTGCAAAAATATTTGTAAAACTCGGAAATGAAAATGAGACATTTGGGCACAGAGGATGAAGCCCTTAAAAAAATGCAGAAAAACAGACTTGTGCCATCTATCACTAACTGGAGTGCAACACACACATATTGGGGTGTGGGTAGGAAAGGGGTCCCCCCATGACCTGCATTTCATCTGTTTTAGCTAATAAGCAGAAATAAATGCTTCCATAATCTGATCAAAATAATTTGAGATAACGGAATAATTTTAAAAATAGAGATTTCTCTTATAAAACTAGTCTCACCAACAAAGCCCAGGTTCGTCCTATTTTTTTCAAATATCAAGCAGGGGAGAATAAAGAAAAAAGAAAGAAAAAGATTGCAGAGGAACCTTTTGTGAGTAGGGAAAGCAATTTAGAAGGTGCCTCAGATTCTCTCCCGCCCCCGCTGGTACTTTCTGGGGAACTCTCCTAGATGCTTTTTTTTCTGGAGGGTGAATGAATTTCAAAGGGGGACCAAGCAGTTCCTCCTCCAGTTGAGCCTGAAATTAAAATGGAAACTGGCTTGGCTTGGTTGGAGTCTCTCCTGTGCTGACCAAATTGCCCAATGATGCCTGGCCTGTTGCAGCAGGAAGCCAAGAGTGCAGGAATGCAGGGGAGGGAAGGAGGGGGCAGGGAGGAAGGGGAGCCAGCAGAAGCCAGAGAACAGACGCAGCTTCAGGCACAGTCCTGGTGCTTTAAGCGCATCTCCGGGAATGTGCTAGCTAATAACAAAGGCAAGAATAACCAAAAGCATGCACAGAGAGCATCCCTCATATTGAGGAGACATTGCCTGCTATTTGGGGGAGAGCAAATCTAGAAAGTTAATTTTTCAATTTCAACCCTTAGGCTGTTTATGGGTTCTATATAACATCAAATTTTTAAAAAGGGTTTTAAAAGAGTTTGGGTGTTTTTTGGGGGGTGGGGGGAGACTTTGTGAATATGTTGCGGTGAACTGCAGCTTTGGCTGAAGACGTAATGTTAGTTAGGACTGGGAAAGGCTCCGTGAAATGGGATTTTCCACAGAGCATTAAAGATTTAGAAACAGATCTCACCCAGTAACAACAGGATATTAAGATGTCACTGGGGACTTGACTGGAGATACAAGTTGTTGGCAAGACTCGGCTTAGAATTTAATAACAAATTCTGTCTCTGAGCATGGGCAGAGTGCTCTTGCATCCACAGCAAGCCCCCTCCCCCAATTTGGGATAAGAGAGGACCCTCCAAGGGCAGAGGTGATAGCTAGCCAGGTCTGCTTTGTGAAATTAAGAGCAGTTACCCCATCCATTGGTGAAAGTGAGCTATGAAGGTTCAGGAGCTACACCTGAGTAGGTTATCCATGCCACTACAGTAAAGGATGCGTGGAAGAGGCCAGAGATAGAACCAACAGGTCTGTCCCTAGAGGTGGGGACTCTCCTTCACTGGAAGTTTTAAAGCAGAGGTTGGATGGCCATCTGCCAGAGATTCTTTAGCTGTGATTCCCGCATTGCAAGGGGTTGGACTAGATGACTCTTAGAGTCCCTTCCAACTCTACAATTCTTTGATTCTAGGAACAAGCACGACTTCTTCTAAAGGAACAGCTGCCAGAGTAGAATCGGACTGGAATCCAAGGCTTGTTCACCCACTATTTCCACTGAGAAGCTCCTTCCACAAAGCTCCTTCTATCAGCCCATCCTTCCCAAATGGCACAGGGACAAGATCCCCATCAGGCATCCACCAACAAGGAATGAGATGCAACACCAAAAAGAGGGCAAAGAGGATGCAATTGCACAAAATTTGGATGCACTAATTCACGAAAGCTTGCAAGTATTTACTGTGCTTTCGATGGAAATAGAGTACATCTCACCCTGGCAGGGAAGTTTGTGGGTCAGGCAACCTGTGGCCCTGTGCTTGGTCTGCTATCCAAGTGCATAGATGTGGATGGGCAACTTCCAGCTCTCCTGTCTGAAAAAGTTTGCTATCTTCAAAGCAGATTTGATGGGAACCGTTACAAAGCGGCTCATGCAAATAGCAAGCCACAGAATCCAGCTATCAGACCAACATTGAGAAAGGGTGCCAGGCTTAACCAAGCGCAGGGTCTGTCCGAATCAAGCTGCTGCTCTGCCTCCATTGCAGTCCTGTCAGAAGAAAGGAGCCTCTGAGAAGGAGGGGAGAAAGGGAGCCCCCCCCCTCTGCTTGAGCAGGATCTTAACAGAGCAGCAGCAGACTGGCCTCTGGACTGAGCGCCTAATGGAAACTGCCGCTGCACTTTCCCGTGCAGCTGGAAGCGCACAAATGTCAGGACCGGCCTGGCTCCTTTGGACAGTGGAACCCCGCCCCCTCCCTGGAGCAGGAAGCCTGGGCTGGACACCACGGACCGACACACACACACCCAGGGACACACAGAGGAGGAGAAAGAGAAGGCTCCTGTTTCTCTTGCGTTCCGGGGAGGAGCAGCCCCCAGGCAGCAGAGGGGCCAGGCAGGCAAGGAGGAGAGGCTTGCAGGGCCAATGGACTTGCAAAATCCTTTGCGAAAGGAGCTGTCCCTGTGCCCGCCCCACTGCCGTGGTGGTCAAAGGGGCCCAGAGTCCACGGGGAGGAAGTCAGGATCAAAAGAGGTCCACACAAAGGACCCTCTCTCTCCGCACCAGGGAGGCCCTCCAAGGTTGGCTTGGGTTGGCATCAAAGACCCGCTGGGTGTGTTTGCACAGCCAGGGCAAGAGAAACACCCTCCTGCCAGCAGAGGCAGAAAACGGCTCCTTTGGGCCTCTCAGATTTGGTCCCGGGCTTCATCAGTAGAGCTTTGGTTTTAAAAAGGAGGGGTGCTGGATGGGCCCCCCCAAGGCTGCCTCCTTCTGGATGGAAACTAGTCAGTAAGCTAAACTATACCGGAGCAGCAATTTCTTAGTTTGAGAGGGGAAAGTCTCTCTCTGCACATGGCTCAGAGACACTCTGTTCCTGTTTCTCCAAGCTAAGCGGTTTCGGATTAAGCTCCCAAAAACGGCACCCTGGCAGCATGCCTCCAGTGGGAGGGGTGCTCATTAGATGTGGCATTTTAAGTTAACTCAGCCCACAGGAGAGAAAACAAGCACTGCAGCCAAGGCACTGGTCCAGGAGGCCACGCTGGGTTGGCACATCCCGCAAGGGATGTTTTTTGGTGCACGAAAATAGCCTCTCCTGCTGTTGCCAAGACTTCTCCCCCAAAATGTCAAAACGCACACAGGGCCACAAATGCAGCATCCAGTTCCAGCAGGTTTTGGCAAAACCCTGTTATCAAAAAGACAACACGAGTGGCCCTGTCTTAGGGAGATAACACTCGCAACCAGCACACCAACTTCAGTGGCAGGAACCCTTCCAAGAATGTGGGTGGCTGCCCACCCCCACCTCCCAAATACGTTATATATAAATACGTTATAAATACTGGTCAGCCTGATAAGGAAAAGATCCGGCCATCTGCTCCAGAAATATATAGTGACTGCTCGCCTCCGCCATGGTTCAGATTTGGCACACATGTTTTCCTGCACACCAAAGTGCCTCATACCTCTGGGCACGCCAGCCTTTAAGTCCCTCAGCCTTTTAGTCACTAACCTCAGAGCCCCAGAGTGGCAATGGGGCTGGGAAGGATCAGGCCTCCTCTAGCATCTCTCTCTTTCTCCGCTTCACACACTGAGCTCAAAAGCAGCTGTCCCGTCTCCTTGGCTGCAGCAAGTTGGTGGCAGCTGGAGTTTTCCCTGGACTGAGAGCGATGGCTGCTGAGTTTAGCCCAAGTGGGGCAGTGGACACAGGGGCAGCCAGATCCTGTTTTTCCAGAAATATCCGGAATGGATGGAGTATGAAGAGAAAAATCCAAAAAATGTGACACATCAGCAGAGATGAGTCAAGCCAGGCCAGCAATAGAAAATACAGACCCCCCTTCGGTGGGGTGGGGGGCTTCTGGCAAGGAGCAGGAGGAGGGATGCCAAGTATTCAGCCACAGGAAATGGGGGGTGCTGGGGCCCCTCTCTTGTTTGTGGTGGTGGCGGGAGGGGGGGGCAGTCACTGCCTCAAGGAGTGGAGCTGTTCCCCCAGCCAGTTCAGTGGCTTCTCCCAATCTGTACTGATATGTCTGGCGGTATCTGTCCGACAAAGGGCTGGTTGGCTAGTCTGTTGGGGGGGGGAGGGAGGGAGGGAGAGAGGCAAGTCAATGAAGTGGCCAGGCTTGAGTGAGAGTTGACACTTCACTACCAACAAAGAGGGGTGATGAGGTTGAAGCTGCCAGCCTTGAGGGGATTCTGCCATAGGCACATTATGAGTCCAGACTAGGGCCACTAAAATAATGTGAAGTGGCCCTAGGTTGACCCTTGCAACCTCTTCCACAATCTTCCCCTCCTCCCCTCAATGCAGCAGCTCAGTTCCTATAAGCTCCCACCATCCAGCGCCCCCCCCATTCCCTGGTCTCCGCACAGCTCAAACATCTGGTTAATGATTAAAGCAAAGTCAAGAGGCTTGAAGTGCAGGGAGAGAGCAGTGGAGGGGGTGACTCAGGGTGCCAACTGTTCAGCTGCAAAGTGTAACTGTGCCTTTGTAACAGCACATTGGGTCGCAGACTTTAGCAGGTGAAAGGACAAATGGTCTCAGTGCTGTTGGAGGCACAAGAGCAAGGAAGTCCTGCATCTTCGTAGTCAGCTGGCAGGCTGGAGAGCTGGAGGAGGAAGCAGTTACAGGTGGAAAGAGAAACGGAGTCCCAAGACAAAGGGTGTGCGCTTGCAATAAGGCCACCGGCTGACGGTCATCCTGGGGTGCCCTTGGCTCATGCTTTCGTCTCTGCAGTATTCTTAGCTGGCTCCCGACTACTTAGGGGAGTCTGCAGCACTCTATATATGCATTATTGCAACTGCGGAAGAGCACCCAACGGGGGCAGCTAAGTCCATTTGGCCCCAGCCAGAGCCATGAACAAGAATGTTGCCTGGACTTTTCAGCAGCAATTCCTGGGCCTGCTGGGAATGTGCTAACAGGAATGGGCATTGCCATCATGCTCCAGTCCTCATTGCTGAGCCATGTGCTGCCAAGATGGCAGGAGAAAGCTTTCATGGCCCAAACCCAGGAAGCAACACTGTGCTTTGAAGAAGCCTAGCGCCCTGTGGACTTTATCTCATCTCTTTGACCCTAGCAGGCTTTAAAGGCAGGGCAAGGTGGAAGAAGGGTGTGGATTTGGACCTGGAGCCCCTTCTCAAGGCCTTCATCAGAGCCAGCTTCAGGTTTGCCTTGGGCAACAATGTCCTCTGATGGGCTTATCTGACTGCTGGGCAGTAAAATCTATGTACTTTTAAAATTTCACACAATACCCCAAAGCAACACTAGGCCAGGGGCATTGTTGGGAAATTTAAAAGCTGGATAGACCCCATTGCCATGCTCAGAGTGCTCCCCCACCCCATCAAAATTATAGGAGGTCCAGGGCAGGCATCAGCAGTGGACCATGCCAAAGTACTGCAATTCTGGAAGCTGCCCAAGGATGCTAGATGCTGACACAGAGTCTAGCATTCAGTGCTGGACACATGGAGTCAGCAGCCCCACTGTGGAGTCAGCAGTGGGATGGGGTGTCTACAAAGGCTAGCAAAATTCTAGGTTGCATCAGCACAATAGCATCCAGATCACAAGGAATGGTGCTGTTCCATTCTGCTGTGACCAGGCCTCATATGGAGAACAGTGTTAACTTCTGAGCACTGGAGCTTAAAAAGGCTATTGACACATTGGAATGTGTCCAGAGGTTGGGGTTGGGGTGGGCGAACAAGCAAACTAACACGGGGAGGGGCAAGAGGACTCCTTTCTTCCTAGGTCTTTAGGTTGAAGCAGCTGAGTATATTCAGCCTGAACAAGATATAATGACGACTACTTTCAAATATCTGAAGGGCTGTCACAGAAATGGGGCAAATCTATAGGACTCCTGAAACAACTGATTCAAATCACATGAAAAAGGATTTTGCCTTATTAGAAAGAACTTCCTGATAATGTGAGCTATTTGGAACAGGCTGTTTCAGAAGGTGGTAGACTCTCCTTTGTTAGAGGTTTTTAAGCAGAGGTTGGATGGGATGCTGAAGCAATGGGCGTCTTTGCGCCGAGCAGGGGTTTCAAGTGGACGAGCTTCAAGGTCTCTTCCAACTCTATGGTTCTGTGAAATAGCTATGGCGTCATTGACCACATGCAGAGGGACATTGCTGAGTAACTACAGTCAACTGCTACACATTTGAAAACAATGGCTCCCTAATTCCAAGGGTTAGAAGGGTTGCAGAAGTTAAGTAGGACCGGAGAGGAGGAAGGTGGCTAGCTTGTTCTCCGGCTGAATTCTAGCATCTGAGAGAACTCAAGTCTGTGCCCAAGACGCAAATTTGAGCACACTTGTACTGAGCTAACAGGCCCAGATAGGTTCCTCTCCCTACATACAAGCAAACAAACACATGAACACACAGAGAGCAGAATCGGGGTGGCCCCCCCCTTTTTCCATCAGAAAAGAGCCATAAGGCCCTGGACAATGCTGCTGCGATAATAACTCAGTCAAACCAACCCTGATTTGTGGGATTGGAGAGGAGTCAGCAGCAAAGGAAGTGCTGGGATCATTCCCCAAGCTGCCTCCCTGCAGGATGCGCCCCAGTTGTGCATTCAACCTGGCTGGAAGGTGGGATGAGATGAAGTGCTGGCCCTGAGAATTCACTGGGAGTTTCCTTGGTAGTGTTGGAAATAATTACTTGAAGTTTGGGCACTTACGTTTCCCTATGCAACTCTTGAAAATATAAGCACCATTTGGGATGGGTTAGGAGAAAAACAGGCTTCCAACACAGCAGGAAAAGGGAGATACAGAACTTTGCACAGTTGATCTGTCTCCTTGGTATTGTGGTTGTGCACGGTGGGTCGAAGGTCCTTGCTAGTCTATCCCTCCAACCCATCCCTTTAGATGTACCTGGACAGTTGTGCAAGAAGCACCACCACCACCCCGCTGCCACCACAATCCTCCCCAAGAAGCACCTATTCCTTTTTGCCTACTATCAGTATAAGCACAATGCAATCCAGAGTCCTGCATGCAAGCTGACTTTGGTCTGTTCAGGGCCTGGTGAACTGCAACCCCCGTCCCTTTC